TGACAGGACAGTCGTAGGCTAAGCCAAGTAAATCCTGTGATATTAGCGCAATCTTTGCAGACATGTTTGAAGTATGATCGCCTCATTTTGCATGATAACTTAAAGAAAACTAGTGGGGTCCATTATGAGTACATCTTGCAGTTGGCTGTGAAGCCGACATTGCAACCTCTGCCCGAAATAGGGAATAAAGGAAGGAAGTAAAAGATACACTGTCCTGAACAGGATATTTGTGAGCCAACAAACCATGCCTGGGATTACGAGATCACTAACTGACAGTGAGCTAAATCTCATAAACATAATACTCACCCTCACCTGAAATGTGTGAAATGTGTGGGCAGCTCATTGGTCTAAACGAACCCTAGATGAACCGAAGAAGCAAAGCGTTTGCTGGTCTGCTACAATGAAATCAGGGTTTAATTCTTCTGCTGCGACGAATACATAAAATACAACTTGCACAATTTATGCAATTTCTAAGTCGAAAACTCATGGAATGACTGAATAAAGTGATGCTTAAGAACCATGGGCTCTTTAAGTGGTTTTTCAAAAGTGTCCTATACCTTATCCATCCGTCAAACAGAGGTGCAAGAGAAACCTGTAATAGACAACAGCAAACAAGTATACTGAGCGCATACTGGGTATGATAAATTCTTTGAAAATGAATGCAAGTTGAGTGACGTAATAAACACCTACCAAAACATCTGTGGTGTTTGTAGTTAAACAGTCAACTAACGGAGATGAGCGGCAAAATGAGACAACCGACTCTTGTTTGTTTGTAGGTGGTTGAAAACTTGTCCAATTCACGTTCACATTACTATCGTATAAACTATCCTCCTGCTGTCCCGTCGCAATCACCCTGGTAAGTCTACCTCAGAGCTGGGATAATCAAACTCGAGTTTGCTCTCAACAGAGCTCATCTGCAATGCATATGCTTGGTAGTGCCGGAATTTGGACTCCGGCCGTCTGACAGACAAGGTGAGTGTGCACCACTAGTCCACCCGGCTCTGTAAGGGATATGCAACGCTAATGAGCTCTAAGAACAGCAAAACTCGAGTCCAGTTATTCCGTATTTTAATGCTGATCGCGAAATACAGAAATAGGACAGTTCAAACGAGGGTGAAATGAACGTATGACCTCTGGTTTATGTTACCTTCCGTCCGAAAGTGGCACGGAACTTCAGATTTTTATCGAGTCGTCACGCAGCTAGCCATATTCTCCGGCCATTATGCAAAAAACTGTACTGGCCGGTTGTTGAGTTATCGCTCGCGTAAATTGTACGTTGGAACAACAGAAATAGATGTGATATAATTTGTTCGAAAAGCTTTATCCAATCAATATTCACTTAGTCACTTGGCCTGACGAAGCTTTTGTGTCAAAAGCGAAACGTGCCCAGCAATAATCTACCGATTGTCACCAAACATTTTCGAAAACGAATATTCAGTATACTTCTCATTGGTGCACCACGTTCTCCCAGTGAGGAGAATCACTTCCATAGGGATACTAGTTTTGATGTTACTCGGAGCCTACTGAGATGGAAGACGAACTTATTGTAAGTAAACTGCGGTATGACCTCAAGGTGAGCAAGGACCAGGGTAAAGAAATATGCATGGAATGATACGCCGTTAGTTTACACAGAGGTATTTCTGGCCGATTGGTTTTGAAAAAGCAAGAGTTATCCAATATGTCTTGCAGTTTTGTGCCCAGTGAGCAGACAGTTGATTGCAGTAAGTCAAATGAAAGACCTTCAAGAAAATACAACTTTCGGAAGATGGGCCACAAGAGTATGCCAAGCGTGGTTTTATTTCGCATCACCAAGGCAGAGTACGGGGGTTCAAAGCTGCTATAATGAACAGAGACTACAATTTTTCAAGCTAAGTTAGAGCAGCACAGGTGAAAATGCAGCTTCTTGAAATCTTTCATAAGACCGTTGGTTATATCAAAAGCCGTTGACATTTGCGGAAGAAAACACCCGCAAATCCAACGCCATTCGTCATCTTTCTAACAAAATTTTGCACGTAACAAAATGCTCGACAATAAGGATTAAAACGTGACTGACTGACTTGTGACATGGGTTTCCTGTTCCCGTGAATATTCAGCAAATTGAGGATAAGCGTTGCAAATCCTGGTGCAAGACAGTTGTAGGCAAGCAAACCGAGCTTCAGTTCTTCCATGCAGACTACCATATCATTCACCAAATATGTCCACCTTGGATAATTGTTGAGGAGGCACTGGAATACGAAGACATGAATTTTTAATTAACTGGGACACTCCTGAGTTTAATATTCCTTATTCATATACCTCCCTATCATGGCATAATAAGCTTTCATTGAGTGATCAGTAGACACAAACAAAAATTCATCAATGTGTCAAAATGTATTCAAAAGTTTTAAAGACACAAGATGCCCTCCTTTTGTTATCAGTAGATAAGAAAGTACAATTTGGTGCTTGAAGCCTTTTTGGTAATACTATATTTGCCTCATGGTGATCAGCGCAGGACTACAAACAAAGGAATAAGTTCAAGCACTTCTTTGCATCCACAAATTATTGAAACATGATGGCTAAAATACGTCAAAATCACTTTGATATTGCTTAAAGTTGTCGGTTTCGACGGGTGATTGGTTGATAATGTCTATAGATAGGGGGTAAATTTTCATGTTAGGAAAAAATAGTTTTAAGCAGAAATGACACGTGGGACCTCTATAGCACTCCAGAAGGCTATTGTTGAAATAGTTGCTAAAAGTTCTTGAATCCAACGTTCGCATTCCACTTTGAATTTCTGGTGGATTCATGAGCCATCGGAGCCAGCATGATCGTACTCTGTCATCAGAATATTCATGACTCGGTCGCTTATGGCTGTTGAGCGCAGCATTTTGGAACAATGGTCGATTGTTTATTGCACCAAACTGACCAGAAAAATGCATTTATCAAGGTGATGCTCGAAATGTAAGCCAACATCTTCATTCACGAAAGCCGCTTTCATGCTGATCACTAGATGGCGGATGAAGAGGGCGGGGGAAGGATCGAAGCTGTACTACACCTGTTTGGATTTTAAAATAACCTGAAGTTTCACAGTTCGTTTCCATCTCCAATTTAATTCCATCATGTGGAATTTGAATGAACTTGATGAATTTCGTAGCTCCTGTTTGTAGAGAGGTCTATCTTAAGAGCCTCCTGGTTGACAATTTCACGGGCCCTGATGAAGAAAACATTGAGCAGCCATAGGCTGTCGCACAGCAATAGTCAGATCAACGACATTGCCGCCGGCACGAAAACCATACTATACTTCAAACAGGTTCTGCAATCAACCGCTTCCTTGGCGCAGGTGCAGAGGGGTGACCTGTACAGTTCGGTGCGCGGACGCTTCTGTAATTGTCGCGTCAAAAACTTGACTTGTTTGCCTTTACAGCGTAGCAAAGTTAAAGTATCTTTCAGTCCTTTGGGAATACCCTCTTCCTGCCAAATGATTTGTCTTGATTAAAGGAGTGCGTTCTTTGATACTAAGTCACGATACTCAAGAATGAGTTCCCCAGTTACCTTTCTACTTCAAAGTTGCATATTGGGCCGTTCTATCTCTTCAGTAGTCAGAACAAGGTCCGGGAATCCTTTAATTAATTTTTTGAAGCAATCAGCCCACTGTAGGCCAGTTACCGGTTGTCGGCTAGTTCAGAAGTATGTTGAGGCGCCGGAGACTTATATTCACCATTTATGTAGGTGACGTCTGTTTTGGCTTGGCATTAGCATCCTGGAGAGTTTTAGTAGGCGTGAATTTTGGCCCGTAGATAGCATCCAGGAAATGGCAAATATTGTTTTCCCTTTATTAAGCAACAGAGTCTTTTATCTACTTTGATTTTACCAAAATTTCTCCTTGATGCTATCTAGTTTATAAAGTATTCCTTTTCAAGCACGTTTGAGTTTTCTCCTCGTTTCTCAGGGGATTGAGAGTTGCTACAAGCACTTTGTAACTTATGATCACTAGTTGTTTTACATGATTATTCCTGTCGTCAGGGTGTTACCGTTTATTGTGTCTTGGGTGAAATTGCCCGATTTGTTAAACCTATTTCTTCAGTACTTGTTGCTGCAGGCTGTCACGTTTCTGTCGGATCGACTGAATTACTGAAGCCTACCAGTGGAAGGATCAGCTGATATTGGCATATCAATCAGCATTTTGAACCATTCAGGTGTCTTACGTTAAACACTATTAGTCCACTGCTGTTTGGTCTACAAACAAGCTGGTGATATGTTTCGCAGTCGGCCCGTTGCAGTACTGGTGTGACGCATACCTTTTCACAGGCCTCACTAACGAACGTTAAGGTGATCGAGTAAATAATAATGATCGCTGTTTGGGTGTACCCATTCGGCGAGGTGTTGCCCTTTGAGGTAAAATATGGTTTCAACAGCGGTGACGAGCGGATGGCGCATCGTTCGAGAAGTATGCAACCTTAGAGGTATACAGTTCCTAAACTTCAGGTTTTGAAAACTCCTGGTCCCTTTAGCTCGACCGACACCTGCACTGAAGGCCCCAGCAACACCCTACATGTAGACGGCATCGCACCTTCAAACTGCTTCTTGTTAGTGTTCTCCTCGTCGAAAAAGCGGACAATGATGTGCATCCAATAAGCCGTAAACACAAATGTTTGAGATTAGGTTCACCCTTCAGCTGCTCTAATAATACGACAATGAGGTCATCGTACACACAACCCAATAATATCATCACCCCAGCCAATATAACGTTGGTAGGGCCGTCCAAGTCGGGTAGTAGTACAAGGCCACCACCGGATTCCTGATGCAAAATAGATAGAAAATCGCATTGAGAGCCTCTAGAATGACCTGTCCTCTTCTCCGTGGGAATAGCACATCATGATATCAGCTCATACCAGAAGTACCTGGAGGATAATGTTGAAGCACCTGCTCTGTGTGGGGCCCGTGTGTGCTTATGTGTATCACCTATTTCGCCCCAGAATTAAAAGGGTATGCAACCATATGATCTACATTGTGTAGAATGGGGCGTCTGATGGTAATAAATCCAAAGGCAAGTGGCTAAAAAGCAAGAATTTATTCGAAAACCCGAACCAGCCGCATTAGGCTTCCATGGGCTTGGAGCTGTTGCTAACTTAGATACCATTGAAGGCTGCCTACAAAACATCGCAACCGATACATCCAGCAACAAAGAGTAGGATCCAGACTGCTGTAACTAAGATTATCTCACTTTGTCAATATGTCCGTACTCTTCAGTGAAATTTCTGTTCATCAATGATCGGTTCTCTCCCATAGGCCAGGCAACACAGCGATCTTAATCACGGGTTTACGTTCGACGAAGCCGGATTCGATTCTCTATGTTTTTTGTGGGCCTGATGTGCGTGTCCCCCAAACTCTTGTTCACTGAACCCTCGCCCTTTCATCAATGAAAGATGAGTGTGGGTCGCATTGTGCGTCGAACGAAAAAGTTGTTTTATGAAGCTAGGAGAGATAACTACCTGCAGAGGGATACTGTGGCATCTTGAAACATCGCATGAAGGACGCGAAGAGATCGGACCTTGTTTTGGTGCGACGGTTTGCGTACCTCAGTAATCCACTGAACTTTACTGGGGACTGTTCGCGCAACATCCACAGATTCTCTTCTGCCAGGTTGGTAAGTGGATCGAGATCTGGCAAATAATCTTTTTACCTTCCAGGTTGGTAGTTGGAACAAGTGTGGCAATCGGCTTCCTATCATTTGAGGGAATCGAGTAGTGTAAAGCCAAACAGATCAGCTTTCTTAGCCAGACAATTTGGCTGAAGAACTTAATTGTCCCCCTGTCCAGGTGTTGGTGCCCTGACAGTATCTCAGGCCAAATTTTACCAAGTATTTTTACGGATGATGAATGATGCTACAACCAAGCTCCGAGCAACAGTTATGCCGGACATGCAGCTAAACAACAAAAGCTCCCATCGTCAAGCAAAACTGATTAGAGTTTGAATACTTAACTAAACACGCTTTAAAATTTATTACCGTTTCAGAAACAAGGTTGTTTTATCAATAACCACCATGAAGTTCTGACAACAGATCAATGCGTTGCTGCTACCGAGGTGTGGCTTAAGAGTGCTACCAAAATGGCCTAAATTCATGGAAGCTTGGTTTTTCTACAATGACTAACAGTTGCCCCATATGTAGTTACCTTATTTTTGAAGTTGTGTAGTTGCACTACAACTCGGAGCGTCTTCTTCCGTGCCTTTAAAGCAATCGCTTGCATAATGTTGGCACCGTCCTCCGCATCACGATGTTTCGCATTAGGAGTGGCCAGAACAATCGCGGCTCGAGCGTCCCGCATTTTCGTTCGTTGCAAATCCTGGGGGTTGTTTGGGGTTCCGACAAAATAGCGAACCCATGCATGAAAGGGACTGAGGAGGCTTTCAGCNGTAGTAATATGGAACAAAAAGATAAGCGATAAAATTATTCCTCAAACCGAACATACATCTTTCTACGAATTTCACAAAGCAGATGTCTGGAGCGAAAGAGAAAAATTCTAGGAAAAACTCTAAGGCCTTTGAGGTATTAAGTTGCGCAGCTAATTTGCACTGGCTGAGGAGAGGTGCGGTTCATTCGTTTTTCAATGTTAGTCAAAAATACTGACACCTACTTACGGTCTGAGAATGACGATATTCATCCGCTCACGACCTTTCGTCCCACCACCCGAAAGGAATCCGTTGATGAATGTCTGCAGGCTTCTGTTATCAAAGTTCCCGCAAACAAGAACATGCCTGTGAAAGATAAATTAATAGTCATTTAGACGAAACCGGGATAGTCGATTGTCTTTCAAGGAACATTTGTTTAAGACTATCTATCTTATCAGAGAAGGAAGCTAAATTTTTTCCTGCCTGCGGGAAAACATTTTAGTACCGTTGTTGCATTGAACATTTTGGTATACCGAACAAAGAAGCCGAATTCCACCTGCAACCACCAGCGTTTCCAGAGGATTTCAACGGCAGCAGAACCTACTGTTTCTTTCAGCAGTTTTCTGTGGAACAAGAATTATATGTCATACAATGCTGCAGAACAACCAGGTATCCGATGGTCTATAGCTATGGATTGAACCCTCAGTAGACCAGATCAAGTTTACCCTTGATGAAACCCTGGAAGTAAGGTCACAAGAAAAGCAAAACAGGAAAAATACATATAACTTAGTAAAAAGCAAGTTAGGTGGGGAAAGATATGAAGCGATTGTTACTGAAGAGTGTTTGCTGGAAGTAGAGTCAGACCCAAATAGTCGGGCATGATGTTCGCAAGTAATCAGAAGCCAAAACTTCACCGCTATGGGGGGACCACCAGTTAAAGGGTACCTGTTGTAACTGTTGGTCACGCCAATGACAGAAGTCTGGTATATTGGCCACTTAGTTCTCCCACTAACTTAGGTTTAAGCAAGTGTCTCTAGGCGTTTGCACGTCAACTTTTAGTTAAATGAACCCATCACCCCAGAATTTTGAGTTCCTTGTTGGTGCTTTTGCTTAACCTTCTCTCCTGTAACGGAAAGTTTTGCAGTTATTTGAATCGGATTTAGGAGATAGTCAAAACAATTTGTAAGCCGTTGATGAATACGCTATTAAATTTCGGTATCTCTCAACCTATGGCTCCATGCTTGTACGAAACAGACAAAGTGAAAACCGATATGCGTTTTACAAAGTTTCACACGCAGCTAGAGAATTTTCACTGAACCTTTCGGGGTAAAGTGCGTGGTTAACCTTCTTGTTCTTTAGATGACGCTGGCTAAAGGCGTAAAGTCAGCTGTGAATAATTGTTTACATTTTGGCTATCAGCCACCTTTGGAATGGGTGTACGGTTGTGAATCTCGTTTAGGTGATTCCTTTTGATTTTAGCATCGGCCTTAATAATGTGCTGATAGCACCCAAGTAGTAGCCGATACACAGTTTATCAAGGTTATTCAGCGTAGCGCAATGGTGGAAGCGGCTGGTTAGATACACCTCATCCGCGAAATATAGCAATGTTTCATCCTCACCGGAAAAGGGTTTAAGCTAAACGTGCCCATATGTGTTAGAATTGAAGCCTTCAGAATTTGGTGAACGCCAACGATATGGGGGCATCGCGATTCATCATCCTCCCTACATTCAGTGCGGAACTCACCTCGTCGTTCAACTGGGATAGATTAAACAAGTGTGATAGTCTGCGCACAAACCCAATTATGAGCTGTGTTTAAGTCAAAAGACGACATTCCAAGTACAAAGCTTTAAGATAGCGAAGAGAAATGAGCTGTTGCACGACACACCGGGTGTATTTCGTTGTAAACCTTCGGAATATATATTATAGAACAACGAGTGATAGAGAAACGAAAGAGAACTGCAAAGTTCGCCACTGGGATACGGAAAGCAAGCCAATCGCCAGAGGGCTGACAGCAATTTGATAGGTTTCTCCTGTCTACACAGTTCCGGTCTTCATCTTCCTATAGCAGTAATCTCAGCAAACTGTAGCACTTAAGATTTCGTGGCTCTGCACACAATATGGATCCTACCCGCCCACTGAACTCTATTCCCATTTTCGAGTAACTGACGGATTACTGATGAAGTCGGTCTTGATTATGCACTTGTGTGGAGTTTCGAATGTGTATCCGGACTAGATGGGACGGACTAATTTTGTACGCTACCCGGTCGCGGCATGTTCTGCCTCTCTAAGTGGAATTAACCTCTCAGATCTGCGAACGTAGGTGGCCAAGTCCCCACATGTAAGTGTAACTGAGATTGGAAATAGTGTGCTAATGTAGCGGATATTGGATTGCATGAGTCAGCATTTAGTCACAGTTGTAGATCACTTAATGTTTGCCAACTCAGTTGTTTTGTTTAACAGTCGTGGTTAAATGCTGCAAATGGTTTTGCCTGTTAATGGAGAATTTCTGGATTGGGTCAGTAGCTTTGATATCGGTCTGATTACAAAACCCCAGACAGTCCTCATCAGATGAAATCACACCTAGGGAGGACAGTTTTCCTAAGTAGATGTGGCACATTATCCGGACCCTGGTTTGTCTGTTAGGCAAACTAAGCATCAGGGGTTCCGCAGCCGGTAACTGTCAGGCCTTAGCGTGAAATCTTTGAATTTCTGGCTGTCTTGATCAACCCTTTTGATCAATTAAGTTTTTGTGCACCAAAATATTGGACTTAGTCTTTTGACCTTCTTTATTTATTGCCCTTGTTGGCATCCCTAACCGGACTTTAGTCGCAGTCTGACATGCAATCCTATATCATAACACCCAGAAGTGTCCACCACTTTTGTATACAACTCAAGCTCATCTTTGGTTTTGGGTATACTTTACGAATCCATACATTTTATCAAGCTTGGAGGCTCTTTCGGTCAACTGTTCCAGCAGGTCAACCTTATGTGTTTTTTCTACGCGAGTAACTCACTTGTTACGAGGATTCGTTCACGTGTGAACCAGAAGTTATTTGACCTCATCTCGGCGCACAATGTCACCACTGTTCCACACAGAGAGGAGACATTCGACACAATCCACGCTTATCGGACACTTAATTCTAAACTGCCATATGGTCCATCTGAAGCATGGCATGCTCAACTAACTTGAGGCTTGGATGTATAGATACGCTACTATTGTCTTGAAGAAATTCTGTTGTGTCTGTCTTTGCCTCTATTTAGTGTATTCTTAGAGATGCCAAAAAGCGGAGTTCTTGATAAGGAACAAATAGTGCTGTCCAGAACAAATCAACAGAAAGGCCTGTTGAGCCAAACAGTCACAGATTCACCGGAGTCTCTCAGTGTTAGCAAGTTAGAAACGGTTAAATCTACTTGCTGAGCAATCCAGGTGATTCTCCAAGGACCTTGATACCAGGTGGCAATAAACTTCGGTCACGTGCAGCCCGTAAGCTAACTTTCACATGATACACAAAACTTGAATATTGAGTGATTGATCAGCCAGCGTGATCAGGTCTACGCCTCAGATTTTTCCACCGTGCTTCTCTGTCCCGTAGCTCAAGACGTGACGTTGGCAGGGCAGCAGCAGGACATCGGTGACTGTAGTTACGGAGCACATATTCGTCCATATAACAAGTGATCTATTAGCTGGTCCTGCTATTCAGTCCCTGAAGAATGGGGCGTCCTGTCGGTAGGATGAAAGCCATTACCAAAATGATGGTACATTAACTCGAAAGCGATGGAGAATTCTCGGTATATTTCTTCAGTTTCCATTAAATTCAACTGCCTTTGAATGGACTCAGAAAGCTGTAATTATAATCACGATTATGCTACATGAAAATGCTGGTAAAACCAGCAAGTGAGGTGGGGTAGGAAGTCACAATCAGTTTCGCTACTCTCCCTATATTCAATTTAGTGTCTACCTCAACAGTCCGATATTTATTTGGCTCTTGATGAGGAACTGCCGCATGCGTTTTTCACATGCGTTTGCTCTCGTTGTTTGGGAAAGTTGTCCAAAGAAGCTGAACTCACACAAGTAACGATTGTCGCTGTGCGCCGCGACTAACTTTATATAAATATCATGGGATAATTAGCAAATACACATATATTTGTGTGCCCTACCAGCCGTACTTTTAAATTTTTCTGTCAAATTCCTCTCATTTATATGAGTATGGTGTCCATAAATGTTTCATGAATTTACTTCCTCGTATATCTTCACAGAATATTGCACACTGTTCCTAGTTCCTGACTGTGGTCAGATGTTGATTTTTCTCCAGATATTTTACTCACACTTGGAAGTACAGAATTGAACTTTTGTTCATTTTAGATCAGAGTCTAAACACTTGTGTGGAAAATCTGAATACACGCGAACATCGTGAGTCTCACTGCAACGAGGACCAATGATAACGAACGTGTGCTTTCATACATCGTTGGCATCCGGTTTCCCACTAAACGGAAACTAAACGGAATAAGCTTTTTGATGTTCACCTATATGGAACCGTTGTGAAATAAACAAATCAAGTGGTGGAAGTCATTCTTATGCACTCCAAACGACTGTAAAAGTCTGCGTTTTTCATTGACTTCAAATTACTTCACTTTTTGTCGTGTTCTCAGCAGGCACTATAATCATGAAGAGCATCAAATGACTGGCGCCAGAGATACTCACTTATTACCTTACTGATCTCAGTGATGCCTGTTTCTAAATGTGGGGAATGTTTGTGAAATTGAATACCATGAGAAACAGAGCAGAGAAAAAGTAGACTGTTTTGTATTTTCCTTTTGAAATGTAAATATTACACCCCATGTGTGCAATGTCTTTTTGTGTTACTTTAAGCAGTTGATAGTGCCACTTATATCTGAGGGACAAATCCCATGGAGAATCGGAAGATTTTCAATTCTTGCGAGGGGTTTGCTTTCCGGAGGGACCACTGTATCTACATCAAAACTGGACTATGTTACACGTAATAAACAAGGTAAGGGAAAAAGGAATAAGTTTAGTCTCTGGTGTCACAGCTGCTCATCTTGAATATTGTGGACAATCTCCTTTAGGCTAAGGGGAAAATAAAGCACATGTTTACCAGTTAGGATCAAGTAACCAAAATTTATGGGGCTGCATGGCTTCACTGCAAATTGTGCGCTTTTTACAAGGACGTCGGCGAAGCTGAAAATCACATTGGTTTGCATGGAGGTACCATTCGAGGATCTCAGATCTTTACAATTTTAGGAGTCGTGAAACTAACTGAACACCATACATCCAGGTACCGGCTGCCATTGGAATTACGTAGGCATTACCTCCCCTTGCTATTGGTGTGCCTGTGTTTGTGGTTGCAGACATGATGATAGCAACACATGTCTTTAGAAGGATGGTATATCACGTGCATGCATCGACGTAGTGTGGATTCAAACAGCCTAACATTAATCGCTCCAACTGTCGTCATAGCAGGACGCTATATTACTCGAATTTATCTACAATGAGGTTTGTAACATCCCGTACGTTATTTCATGGTTTGTAGTTTGCTCAGCGTCAGCTGAATGCTTCACTGAGGGACTTTGTCCATGCCTGTTCCATATTAGCGTGGGTTGCATTCCAGCATACACTGACCGATCTACCTGGTCTTACATCACGAAGGAAACGGACTAATCGGTGTCTTTTGCATGTGGACAACGGCATCAGTTACCACGCCTATTACATCTACAATCATTCATATTGTTGCAAAGACCGGCAACGTATGTGTGTTATCCCATGAGTAATCTGAACCCAGACGTCTAGTGATCAATGATTAATCCATTCAACTTGCATTTGGTTAGCCGATTGGTATTCAGTTTACCTCTCAGTCATCAAAATTTTAAGGATTTGAGAAGCCCTCCAAAAATTATTCGTTTCCTAATATCAAATCGGAATTCTCATCAAAAGGTTCACTGATCACCGAATGACTGGCGAACTGCAGGTTTTGTCATATGTGTGAGGAGACATTTTTGCATATTACAGTTATCCTAGCGTTTCTGTCAATCAACTTTGAACCCATACACACTTGAAAGCGCACTCATAAATTAAATTTGTAGCTCATTAGCTTTATAGTCACGCAACAGAATGTGTTTTTCGGAATCAGATTGCATTCTTTTAGAAGGCTGTAGTTGAAGCTTAGTGACAAGGCAAACGAAGGTAAGTGGCTCAATCTTTGTTCCTGTTGTTAAAAATATCATCAAACAAGTTCCATGATAAACAGTAACATAGGTGTTTTTATTTGCCCTCAAAGTTGGCCGCCATCCATAATTTGCGATCAAATTTAACCCATCATTCGCGGTACTTTGGCGACTGCTCCATAGTTTTGGAAAACCGTTTTTATTGAGAAGTGATAAGACGAAGCAACAAACACATCCTCAATATCACGCATTCTCGTAATCACATCGACGGTAACCGTGCAAAAATTTGACACAGCTTATCGTGACCACATATGGACGAAACTCACCTCTCTCCATGTATTGATTCATATTTTGCAGTTAAATCACTGGTGTTCGTGTTGAAATTACGAAAGAGCTCCGGGATAAAACTGGCCGATACACCCTGTAAAATAAAACCAAATTTGACAGTCATAAGCACGAAATATTTCATTTGCGAAATTCATATACGGCAAAACCTTAGTGGTTCACGTTAAGATTGCTCGTGTATGTCAATCAAGGGCGGAAGAAAATCCTCTCTGAATTTGAGTTTTTTATTAAGTAGAGAAGAAACAACTAAGATATAGAAATTTACCGTTCCCCACGAGTTCCCTTTACAAGCCTATTTCTCCGTACAATTGGAAGTCTTCCATGAGTCCCCAGTAGTGAGGAACCAAAAGATATTGCTGTTTTAAAAAAACGATATTTCTCCTGAAGTCTTTGGGATCATCGCATCTTCACTCACACTAGAAATTGACTGCATTTCGTGCCCAATAATCACGACTTTGCTTCAGATCTGAAAAACCTGAAATATCCTCCAACCGCCATCTCCACCACAAAGCAGACCCAAATCTCTTGGATGAATACAGCCCATCAAATCGCCGGAAATTTTTCATCGACCCACTTGCGATTTCGCGCATCATGTAAGCGCAGTCCTCCAGTTTTCACCAAACGTCCATAGGCTCTCAAAAGTTTTCAGCACCCCTAGTCTTGTTTTTTCATGCTTTCGTATGTACAATCGATGCAGTGGAAGACTTAGGAATTCATAATCTGTTTTCCACAATTTGTCCAATTCCAGTTCCCACTTCCTATATATAACGCTACAACTACAACTACCGTTAATGTTTCTATTATTTGTGAGAGATAAAGACCGGAAAATATTGAAAGATGATGCTTCATTTCGTTATGCGTGTATGCGGGGAACGGAATAGATGCCCAGACCAAAGTAACTATCAGTGAGGAAAAGGGCATGCGAAAAAACCTGAAAACAGGTTGTCAGGAAAAAATGCTTATTCCCCCGTACTAATTCTACATTCATCTAGACTGAATTCGCGTACTTGAATGGATAGCCAAAAATAATGGATAACGACAACCTCAGCAAGGTTCACTTTTGCGTGACGCATGACCGTCTGTCGTTCTTTCGACGAACACCAGGCAAATGGCATTGTAGGATTTTCACACTTTGGCGAAGTTTGGTCAAGGGGAAAATATTACCACATCTAAATGGTAGACACAGTTAAACTCACCTTCTTAGGACAAGTAAAACTAATAAGCACACTTTTCATGATGAAACCTACTCACCAGAATGTTAAAAACTGATCGAGTAATTTCCCCTATGAAAATATACTACACTGTCTAGAACATCACACCAACTTAAACATAAGGCACCTTTTGTACGACACATTCATTTGAACCATAGCATAAACGAGAGATTCAGTTGAGTCTCCGATGTTGAAACCAAATTGAGTTGCCAATAATTCTATTTGTAAAAATCACACTTTTTTTTCTTAATGAGGAAATCCCAAACTGGTAACCATTCGCTTCTTGTAAAAACTGCACGTTTGACGTACATTGTAGGTGAAACACAGGGTGCGCAAAGACAAGATGATGATAATTCTATTAGTAGCTTCCAGAAAAATCGCAAGAATATCAGACTGTTTATTGATTAGCTCGTAAGTAAAAGTAGATTCAACGTAAGAAAGGCCGGCACACTTTTTCTTGACATAATACACTACTTTCGAGTTTGCTGAACACTTGTTGACAAAACACTGCAGATTGGGCCTTTTTTAGGGCTCGCTGGGTTGTAGTCGACATTACGTTCTACATGAAGAACAGTACAAACGAGGGATTCGAATAGTTCTCCAACTGACATCGAAGTAAATTAATAGCGATAGTGCTTTGCTACTTCCGTGAATTTACTTGCTAAAGATGGACATGAGATTGATGGAAACGCGTGAATCACATCTATTTGTTGAGCCCCAGGAAGTGTAAAACCGGTCGCGGGATGCTAATGCAGAAAACCTACAATTGGTGTTATTTCAAGAAAATATATATCGATATCTAATACACCATACCAGCAAAATATATGGTGACTTCAGTGCAGCACATCCAATAAAAATAGCATAGCCCTTCGATTCAGCTCAAATTTAGGTAACTATCCAGTAGACACCAACTTTATTTGTGAATAAGCTGGTTCAGACATGGATATGTTCCGATAAATCCAGGGGTCCGAGAGTGACTTTTAGTCCAGAAAAAGGGAAGCTGGGCTATGGTGATTATACTCTGTCTATTTTTTTCTGCAAACTGTAAATTTTCATCTTGAAATTTTAGATTTATCAGATTATTAGCTGAAAGACACGTTCTTTTACTTCCAGCCATCGCGCTTAATGGATAGCACTCCTTCTGTTTAAAATATTAAGATAGTTTTATGACGCTCATATTGTTCAAGACTGGCATGATTACTTGTAATTGTTGATCGTTTTAATTCCAGAATTCGAGTACCTGAAGAAATCACGGTCCTTGAACGAACCTTAGAAGGCAAATTTCCAGTGTAAACTCTGTTTAAGTGTGCCACTGTGAGTTTGTTAAATAACAGTTCAAGTAAGATAAAGGCATGTCCAGTTTTTCACTTTGATAGATATTGTGGACTTACCATCGCTACTGGAATAAATATGCAAATGAAGAGCCTCCCAAGCGTTGTATTTGCAGCATAGTCTCCATAACCCACAGTTGACAGGGTAACCAGCAAGAAGTAGCAGGCCTCGAAATAACTCCAACTACCTTCATGTGGTTTATCCTCCCAAAAGTCACCTAAATGATCAATCTGAAAAACGGAAATAAAAGTTTTGCGTTGTATTAAGACACAAGAAGTGTACACATATTTTGGCACTGGTCGGTTCTGTTAGCTTGTCTGAGGGTTGATTGTCAACGCACTTACCCTCTCCGGAAAGTACACAGAATCAAGGACAGAGTGATGCTTGACTTGATACTCTTGGTCATCCATCATGTCTTATGTTTATGTAATAGTCTCATAAGCCACGACTTCAAGAGATTCGTTACTTTAAGTGAGATACTACAATTTAATCAGGTTACACAATGAAAACTGTGACAAGTCTCTTGTTAGCTTAGGGTGATGGTAAAATTGTTCTGAATGGGGTGTTTTACCCTTGGATGACTGCGAAGGATAATGGTTGATAGCGGGGGTCATGTACTGACGTTAACACAACATTCTTACCTACTAAAGAATACAGGTTGGAATTATGGTAGCAGTTGGCATTCTAAGAACCGATATCAATATCGACCCGCTATCAGCAATCTTGTCTATGTTCTAACGCAAACACCGAGCTGAGCATTCCATTGATCTCGTCAGCAGTGCGCATGTCCGGTTGTAAAAGAATCTTACCTTCAGCCACCCAACTTGTTACTGCAAAGATTTCTACATAACGAGCAATTGTCGGATGATATAACATGTCCCTAAGAAGAGACACTACGGAAGCAATGACAAGCTATTTTTTTAAGATTGAAACCTTTGTTCTCTGGTTTCCGTAAGGAATTTGTTGTATATTTGTTGGTAATTCAGATCACGACGCGGAAACATTTCTCAAGAAACTACTCAAGTTTCTGCATTACTGACAAGATTCTTAGTTTGCATATGAAGCTCTTTCGTGTCCGTATGCATGCAAATAAATGTATCGTTTTTGTAGGAGCTCAGTTACATTTTTATGAATGCTCAAATCGTCAGCATCGAGTATTCTCATTAACTCAGACACTTCATAGCATGCAAATGCATTTCATTAGGCGTCGTAGTAAAATTCTTGATTTCATACTATCTCTGATCATCAGGATTGTGTAATACAAACTTTAGGGAATCCAGATATGTAATTCTTGTGATTAGTTTCACATAAGAAAGGTGAACACATAGGTGAACCCAACCCATAAAGACACGCCAGCGGCAATCGCTGTAACGCCCACCGAAACTCGAGTACATTTGATCACCATGTATAAAAGAGGCAAGAACTAGCACACCGTGTATCAGTTAGTTGAGCGTCCAAAAATAAAAACTCATCTGAAACGAAATATGGATTTAAAAGCGCTAAAATATGAAGACAACTAAGTGGCATGCAGCAGACAAAACAAACGCTCCCAAATGATCTTTATTTTTTCTTTCAACTGTTGTTACACTGCCCTAGTCTTAACCATTTTTACATTTTTGCTCAGAATATGAAGTGCATATTTAGTGAGAGACGGCGTAGTGTTGGTCTCACGAAACCCTTTCAGGTGTTCTTTTTGTACAAGCAAGTTATCCCTAAATTTTTTGTCATTCGCAATGATTGAAAAGCTCCATCCAAAAAAATCCGACGCTTCCCCTTTGAGAGAATTAAGCGCACTTCACCAGTAGACTTTAAACTCATACCCTTTGTGTTCTTGTTAGGTTTTTTCTACAGTCAGCCTTGAATTCGTGATTACTTTTGTTCTAGGGTAATCAGATGAACGAAACTATGACATGAGTATGCTGTCCAGTCAGACGGCACATGGCCATAATGAACCAGTGTAACAACAATCAGACAAATGTATGGAGCCATTTATCACTTATGAGTGATTCATCTCAATGGAATCAACACTCAAATAGTAGTTTACTTCCTACGGGGTGGCATTCTATTGGCGCTTGAGTAGCGGTGCCCAAGTTTTCATCATTTTCTACTGAAAATCGAAATAAATAATCCACCGTCGTTTTTTGACAAAAATTTGGAATTATTTTTGTTCTACATCTAAATTATATAGACTAGGACAAAAATACTTTTCCAGTACCATATGAAAAATGAGAAAACTAGCTTTTACCACTCAAAGGTGAGATCAAGACAAGGAAGGCCTTGTTTACTCGAAGGGTTAATGATAAGAACTAATGATTACAAAAATAATTGGTACATATCAAACCGTAGTTTAGGGTGCTTCCAGAAGGACGATTCAAGAATGGGAGTGCTTTGTAACAGTACGTGTGTTTATCCCAAAAATTCTGAAGTGCCTTTTTATGTTTTTTGCATGGTTTCTGCTGCTGAGTGGGATAAGGAGTAGAAGGAAAAACTCCAAACGTAGCTTTTATCGCGAATTTCAAACTTGATGACCGTTATTTCACCAATAAAGGAAAAGTAGTGCTTCATCAACTTTGAGTAATCTTTGAAAAGTTAAACATTTAAAAATTCTTGTTTTGTACACCAGCCATCACCCGATATGAATATATAACTGGGTCTGCACAACGCGTACTCATTACTCAGGACGCCCTTGAGCTGAGGCTAAAGTATGAGTTTAGATAGGTGGCGGAATGAATGCATTTATCAACAAGCACTCAGATAATTAACGCCTTCAATAAACTGAGGGTAACCAAGCGAAGAGTGAAAATGCCTCCTGAGCAGGGCAGGCATCACACGCAGACCACTTTTTGATGGCACGAGGACTGCTATTCGTTTAGGAGTGCCATTTATAGGAAGAAATCTATGAACCAGTAGCCGAAATATCGGTGTTTTATTTTACGTGGTCCTTCGCCCGCAAGCTCCCAATTGTTCAATTCTAAAAAAATCTAATGAACGAAAATTCTCTTCTACGAAAATAAAGGCTATTCTTAGCTGTCCTCTCATCCATATAGAACCTTTACATAAATCAAACCGTTTTGTCAATACTACTATTAGAAAGCTTCATAACGGTGTTTACGACGAAGTGTTATGATTACCAAAATATCTAACAGCAAATAGAAATTCTGCAAACTGAATCACTGACTAGTTTGAATAAGAGTAAGGAAGTTATTGGAAAATAAAAACTGTCAACCACCAACGAAGCGGTGAAAGCGGCAACTTGCCCTGCCTAATCCAGTACCCTACAGGATATTGATGGTGATCACAACCGGGCTTCTTGCGTATCCCCAATCAAATCAGGTTACGCCTAACTTGTTCGTTCCTCCAGTTCAACGAACTTCACCCGTTTTTCGAAGTCATACTCTGTCGATTCCAGCTGACCATACTGCCTACGGGTGTGCCAACCTCAATGAGCAGTTTAAGCATTCGCGATTGAACTGCTGGAAATCACATTCATATACATGTTCCTCACAGCCATTATTTACTCCGTACCACGCATACTCCATCATTCTAATCTAATTCAGCTTGATGGAGTGTGGCATTGACCGCGTAAGCTTAGCCTTAAATCTCAGATTTTTTTGCAAAACGACCTAGTAGAACGGGACACAAACAAAGTAAGTCGGTTCATTTTCACGGATAGGTTCGCCGTTTACAAATAGACCTGCCAGACAAGCCAGCAAAAATTGTATTCTGATTACGCTATGCTGCGGAAAAAGTGAAATTTGTTCCGTGCCTCAGCATCTAAGTTATGCAGAGCCGAATGGGGATAACGGATAAGAGCACTATGTCTATTCGAAATTCGTCCTAAAACTAGTGTCCCACGCAATATGTATGTGAAGAGTACATTGAAAAACGGTAGGTTGGACCCTCGTATGTATAGCAGATAAACGAAGCGAGACTAACTGAAATACCCTTCGGAGAGGACTATGACAAAAGAATGGACAGGACTCGTAAGTAGAATGAAATGCTGGGTACTTGTTACATTGAGTCGGTGAACGGATGGAACACGAGTTAGGTGCAAAGTAAAGGCATCATTTTGCTTGAATCTTATGCACTTGTTTGCTTACAAAAATGGCTGCGGTGCTGGTAGAGAGGAACGGTTATTCCATGGATACAAGGTTTCGGGATAATATCTATAATTTCTTGGCGTAGTATTAATTTTAAGCGGGGCAAATTTACATACCTTGGCGGTCGTTTCGTTTCTCTCGCGAAATACAGATGCGCACTATCTATTGAAAGGATCAACCTACAAGTCAAAATCATTCGGCATGGAATTCCCATCTTTTCACTAGTTTGCTTAATTTGTCTCCGTGATCTGTTTCCTAGACTATTCAGTTCTCATGGAACACAAGTTAGCAACGATGAGAACTTTCACTTTCCATTGGCCATCTTCGGTGGTTAAACACGAAATATTCAATACACAAAGGTCAGCAGCATAGAAATACTCCTACTCATCGTGTATTTAAACACACCAACTGAATTCGGGTATCGGGTCTTGTCCAATTCGGGTTATCCTGTTCGTCATAGCTGTTTTTTGACAAAAAACCCAGTAATTCAGGTGTGTTTGATGACGCTATTCATAAGATGCTATCAGAAGGTCCTAATCGGCAAGTCTGATGCGATGCTTGGTGTGAATGCTTGGTAATAATAAGAATCTTGATGATCAAAATGGTGATTTCGTCCTTTCAGTGAAGCCAATCTACGCTTAACCCAAAAAGCATTGTAAAACTGTTTTGTCCTTATCAAGAATCGCCAACATTGTGTTTCTCAATAGAAAAAAATACAAGTAGCTCAGAAGAAGAGTGAAATCCATTTGATGAGTGATACCTCCATCTGAGAAGTCATTGCGTCACCAGGCGTGATGTGAATCCCGTGATTAGAGGAGGAGCTGAGCTATGTCCTATCTGAGTGCGAGTAAATCACACCACGATCGGCTGTTCATGATCGAACAATTAAGTGTTCAGACTGCTGGCTGGGAGGTTGCGGGTTCGAGACTCTGAATTTTTTTGAGGTGTGCACCACTGATGTTTTTCAAGAGGGATAAGATCGTCGTGCAGTGCACTTCGGGTTTTCAACACGGTGGCTCCACATACAGAACAAAATCTCCAATAGTATAGATCCGTGTTGAATGAAGCGAACCAAATTCTCAAGTAAAAAATGACTTTTCTACGCTAACGTTGTTCCTGGGTTTAGCTCAGGAGTTGAAAATGGCCAGAAATTTAGCAGATATGGGGTAGCTGAGTATTCGAACAACGGATAATAGCTTCAGTGGCAATTGGCTATTTTAGTTTAAAAATATAGTTTTGCCTAAAATCATGGACGGCCTCGTAACCATTGTACCACTTGCGTTGTATATTTCAGATGCATCTTCCTTCTTGCGCGCTGCCATAATCGCCCCATTCTAAGCAAAATAGTTCCGACCTCAGCAATATTGAGAACATCAATTTTTAATCCGGCACATTTTCCTAGGACTTTCGAGGTAACTCAGTGAATGCAGGCCAAACAAACAAATGTAAGCCAACTAAGAGATCTTGATTCTCCTATTGTTTGGTTGGCACTGCCTAGAAGATACTTGCTGAGTATGCGCGGGTGGTCATGCGATGGTGATTGGTTGCACACACAGACCCCTCTGAGTGTGTGGGGCATCGCAATACTTCTCTCCATTTCATGATGTTTGCTCTAGGCTTCCTCGTGAGCATTTCCACCCTAGAAAGTTTACAGTTGAACTTTTCAGAATTGAATCATCTCAAAACCTCTGATTATCGTTTAATAGTGTATTTGTATTAGCCCGCTGATTGGTATCATGTCTGTGGTATACTGGTAATTCACCGGGGCTTTGACAATAAACAACACGTGTTCTGTTCAAAGTTGTCAGCTAGTTCATACAAAACTGTGTGCTATGTCAACGAGGATTCTCAGTGAATCTTACTGTCAATCACCCGGACACTGATGAATTGCGCGTTCTGCAGACGGGAATAAACAATGCAGTCCTCGAGCGAAGAAATCACTGTACTTTATTTGTTCAAGGACGTCCTGAAACATGACACAGTGCAATTAAAATTAAAGCGCACCAGGCGAAATCCTCACAATTTTCGTTTCAAAAGATTTTTCTTGGAAATCCATCTCTTTCTGGGCCACTCTACAGTTATGTCCACAATTTCCGGAATCTTGGGAGGGAGGATCTCAAACAGCACCCAAAGTCGAGGGTACAGAAAGTCCTGAGATGATGATGGAAATAACAGTCGCGTTGCTGATATGATACGATACTTGAATTCTCCAGTAAGGATATGCAACTTGAATACCAACTATTGGCGGAAGAACGATTATGATCAAGAGAATATCGCATCAGAATGCCTTTTGGCATTCCAGGTAGCACAGTATTGTCACTTCCACTGTAAATCCTAATTAAGTGTATTACTGCGCATTTTGGTCCTGAAATAATCTCATTAATGAAAGCATAAGACAGTCGCCATTTAGAAAGTTATCTGTTATGTGGATCAACAGAACCCGATGGACGCAAAAAACCGGTGTGTTGTTCAAATCACAAGTGACTACGGTGATCGATTTCACAGTTCGTGTCTCATACTTGGTAAAAACGAACTGGAACATTGACAGCTATCTAAAATGTCATTGGTATTGATGTACACTGTTTGTTATAGGGGAAAAACCCATCCAACTACAAACCTGAGATTACAGCGGTCGATTCACTCGGTAAGGTGCTCCAAGTGGAATTCATCTATGACCAGTGTCCGAAACCTGCGTCATTATTCCGTCCAACCATTTCAGTGATGATCCGGGTTTGCGTGCCAGAATATTCTTCTTTGAATTCGCCGACGATTTCAGAAGATGCACATTACCGTTGCTCAGAAATGTGGCACACACTGCTAAGTCTTATGGCTGTCTACCTACACACCAATTTACTACTTCTTCGATTGTTTAGGAGTTTCCCACCAAGACTTGGATGTCGGATAACTTTTCATGAAAACAGTTGCCTGTTCATTCGAATATCCAGCGAAATGATGTAACATCAAGTAATCCGGCACTAAGCTGTGGGTCCTTCGTATTCATTTATTTATATCATTGCAATAATCCCTTCCGTAAATCTGTTTCGTTTGGGCTTGTGATTTTCAAGACGTATGTTGTAAGGGTAAATGTTAGCAAAATTTTTGTTCCCTTTTGTTTGTTTAGTAACAGAAAAGCGTCTACTCTTTGTCATTTTTTAGATGTAAACAATGGCCCGGTACTAATGTTGCAGCCATTTTTATTCAACTACGAAGCCACGGGTTTGGAATGATTTGACGAAGGCATGCTTACATCTGAATCCCAAGTTCAGTCAGAATAGACACATTTCTATAGGCCAACAAAAAATGGGAATTCTCGCTGTTTCATTATTTATTTATTGCGGAAATAATATCTTAACTGGTTTTCAAGATTCTCAAGAGGTATCTTTCTCATCCGAATGATTTGAACAGTTTTTATTCAACTGCACGTTTCACATTCTACTTCCAGATGTAATTGATATTCGCCTTGCGTAAACTCACTTTTTGTGCATTTGAATACCAACATTATGCAAAGTTTGTTCAGTTGTTATGGTTTTTTCCTAGCCATGATCAAAATAGACAGAAGTGATGTAGTGCTGCTGTTCAGGTAATAAGCCTAGCGCCACCAAAGAGTCTAATAGGATAGCTGTAAAGCAAAAAATGTTATTTCTAAAAATCATGGTTGGACAGACATTAAATGCAGTAATAAAATGCTACTATGACCTCCGATTCAAAAAATACAGTGGTCTTTGCTGTGAGAAGAATAGTCAAGACGGGCAGAAATTTTCGGTACCTATTAGGAGATTTAATAATTTCCCTACCATTCTGGTGGCGAAATTTGCGCCCACAATATGGACCGGTCGTTTTCTATTGAAGTCTTACTGAGACACACTGTAGGAAGAATTTAAATTACGTACCGATAGGCAAAATGTCTGCAAGTAAATGGAGGACCATTCAAAAAGCTGTCAGTTGTATGTTTCCATAACTTTGTGCCTGGTAACAGAAGGATTGCAAACCAAAGCGCCACAGCCCGCGAGAAAACCTGTTTGGTTTTCCTATTGAGTGCTTACACTTTATTTGTAGAACATTCCCTGTGAGCAAAGAGTGAGCATTAAAGTTATTGTATCCGTCAATGCATCCCATGGCTCTTCTGAACAACAGCACATTGCCAGCGCTATGTAGGCTGGGTAGTGCCTCCAAAAATCTATTCGTTAGTATGGACACTTCGGTATCCGATATTATTATAGTTATTTATTGTTGGTGTGAGAATATTGGTAAATTTTTAATGATGATCTCATCCTATACGTAGAACCGCCATATGCTGGAGAGCTGAGAATCGCTGGACAGCTGTTTCATCCTTATTTCCAATAATCAGCTGTGTATATCTCAAGAAACTTCAAGGAGTTTCGAATCTGCGACTGCCCGGCTGCTAGTTTGAAATCTTACGTGTTCGATCACAACAGCGTCTTCATTTATACACGGAGTTGCAGTTCGATTGAGGGAGCAAAATTGTATTATCTGTGGAGGATATGCAGTGGGCAAGCAGTTTTACACAAATGACGCACAACTCGGTTTATCGTTCAGTTACGTTCACTCAAACCAAATAACTGCTTCTCTGTCATTAGGGACAAGTTTGTGGGAAAGTGCCACCGAAAGAGTTGTTTTATTCCCTGTGCCCCCAATGGTCATCCCTTGGAAGTACAAAAAGCTTTTTGAAGTAGTGAAAGTTCGTCTGCGTTGCCAAAAATAAAATTTTAAACCAGAAATTGCATTTTGAGTAAATTTTTAACATCACAATAATTAAAGCAGCTTGGTTTACTTGAAACTCCATTTCATTTTTTGACTTGCTGAGTAAATGCTTAGTTCAATTTGCTTCAGAAAAGGAGCCGCATGCATTAAATCTAGACTCAGATAATGCACCTGAGGAATACTTTATAAAACAAACGATAGACGTGTGAGAATAATGCAGTAGCTCTTGTCTTCTCAGAAGGACCTGGATTCGCAAGCCTATGAGGATCACATCACGACAAGCGACGAAAACGCATAGAAGTTTGCATAGTTAGATTTGTTTTTTAACCGGTCAATTAGGTAGTTTTCCGAGATATCGGGTGCATATATAAATACATTTATATTATATATATCCAGCAAACTATCAGTTCACAGATTTGTTGGATTCATCCCTAAAACCGGATAACTGATGACATTTTGTTTTCGCAGCCAGGCTTGCGTCAGCTATAAAACCTTCTAAAGACATTCATGTCAGAAGTTACGTACTCTTTAAAGATGACGCTATTTCAGGCATCAAAATAATTCTCCCAGACTTTCGAAATGGTTTTAAACTCCAGGAGTGGTCCGTATATGAGGACGCATGGTAGGTTTCAGTAGCGCTTACTGTGGATACTGTAGTAGTGGTCGCTTCCACTTTTGTGGTTAGCTAGCCAAGACAAAATCGTCTCGGGAAATCAGGTACGACTGATCAAATCAATGTGTAACTTGTTTGTGTGCTTCTTTCACTGACGTCCAAGACCGTTTTTTATCCAAGACATACTGGATATTGTTGTTCTTGCAAAACGGTACGTGAATATTCTAGAATAGTCAAAGTAGGTAAGAATAAATAATCTTACATTTAAATTCTAAATAAACGGGTCAATATGCGCAGAATCGCAACTGTTATTTTCTACAAAAAGTTGAGGATAAAATGTTTGATCATTTATTCGGCTTGGTAAATGATAGCATGAAAACTCCTGAAATTCTCAAAATGTTTTTTTTACTTTTTTCCTTTAGAATAAAACATGTAAACGATTGACGATAATAAAACGTACCCCGTGCATTAGTCCACTTCCAACCATCCACATTGTAAACAGTGCGAAGCATATTCGCGCCGACTGAATGCTCTGATTAGATTTGATGGCTCCCAAATAGGTCATTACGTCGACGTAATTGAAAAGGCAGGTGGCTCGGACAAAGTTCAAATCTGTGTAGAACAATTCAAGAAAGAATTCGTGGATTAGTAGCTTTTCTATGCATAAGCGTACGAAGAAGCAATATTTGGTTTGCGTATTTCGGACTACAGAGGATGGCGAACGCAGAAAAAACTAAATAAAGATACTTGCCTAAGACCTTACCATCGCAATGTCTGCATAATCCCAAATAATAAAATCTTGATTTGCATAGAAGGATCAAAGCAAGGGATGTAGCTATATAGTGCCAGATTTTCCCAGCAATGGTAGTAATAATAGTGAGTAGTGGCGCTAATGCTCTTAAAATTGTTTCTTGTGAAGTGAGCTCCTTCAGGCTAAGACTCAAACTTGTGAGACCCTCGGGATAACTGTGACTTTCCTCAGTTGAGTAGTAAGGCGGAGATCCTATTTTAAAAAGTAGTGGTAAAATCCTGATAGTAGGTATTTCCTTTCTAAGTTGGCAGACGTTTTCCCAGGACAACAGATTACGAGCAAAACTCCAACTTAAAACCCATCCTTTTTTAAGAAAAACAGTCTGTATGGAAGCACCCGGTAAGTGCTCAGGAACATGTGGATTACCAATTCGAATAATTTTATTAACAATATCGTTCACTGTTGCACCACACTCTGCTCTTTCTGCATGAACGTGTGTGTGAAAACAGCCAAAATTGTTATTCAGTTGAGTGAAATGCAGAACTTCTACTAAGGATCCAAGACGTTTCAAACCAGTTGAGTAAAGTGTAGAACGTGATAAATTTCGCAGCAGTTTTAATATAGCATTCGCCAGCCACATCTGTCGTTCACTAATGCTCAAACATTTTTCATTCACCTCAAAAGACTTCCCTGTCTGTGACTTCAACCCAAAGTAAAGTGAACTTACTTCGTTTGAGCACTGTGCGCAGTTTAGCCGAAAGTCATGCATGCAACAACCAAAATCACCGATATGAGGACCCTAAAAACAGCGTGAATATGTTCCGTCACAATTACACATAAATCTGTATTAGCTGCGATACGACTGCTGCTGACTGTTAGGTCCTAAAAAAGTTGATGAACTACTTTGGACAACCTCCACCGAACATGGACCGAATGATCGCAAACCCAGCAAGACAGACAAGTGACGGGTTCAAAAATATTACCAAGATAGCACCCTGCATTAAGGTCTCCAGACATAAGAGCTCTTCCTACATTTGGAATTTTCAAATTCACTCACAACCAAAAGTCAAACAATAGCCCTGAAGAAGAAGTGAATTCATCCCATGAGGGGGACTTTAATCTGGGAAGACGTCAATTGAGGCACGTGACCACGTGAGGTGGTTCCCAGAAGTTAAGGACTTAAGTGCAAGTTGATGACAATACTGATTAGTCTCTCGTGGCCAAACGGTTTTGATATTCAAGCTACCAGAAGTGAGGCCACATGTTCATGATTCCATGGAGTTTTGTGAGATGCACATTACTGACATTTCGCAATAAGGAAACAGCTGTACAGTGCCTTCCGGTTCTTCAGCATAGATTAGTTTCACTCGCAAGGCGCACTCCTTACACTAATCACAGCAAACACTTTAGTATGGAGCCTTAACAAATTGTTTAGCTGCTAAAAATCGCTTGCCGCAAGAAAGCGTACATAAAAGTTAGTCCGTTTTGCATGTTTTGTTACGAGTGAGTAAAAACAACATCCGCAAAACATTTCAGTCTGCCAGTGGCAAAAAACCAAAAGCATTTAGCCGGCTAAAATGGATAAATATTGGCGCGCGTGTTTCAACTTGAAGACGTTTGTGATCAAACGGTATAGTATTTTGCTACCAACTAGAAGCTCGCGGGTTAAAATCTTCTCAGATTCCTAATATGTGAACTGCTGCTTATCTTCAAACAGGTGTAAATTTGTCTTCGGCTCTTCAGCATCGACTTACTTCTCTAATTAAGCCACAAAATCGACTCACACTGCTATGAAACCATGTATTGTGCTGAAGGAAAATTCTAACCTTATACAACAATACGGCTGAGAACTCTTAAGAAATTCAAACTATATTGGCATTCCGTCGTGCTAGCCTTCCTGATAACGCAACGCTGCTGGCTCCGTTTCTGTAAAGCTAAAATGATTCTCGGTAATTAACTAAAGTATGTATGGAAAACCATGAAATCTTCGAAATATCTCAGGCTGGAGTTTGACGCAAACTTTTGTAGGTTTGAATATATCATCTCCACAACTCCATTGTTAAGACATTAAATTCGTCATTAAAAATACCATCCCTACCGCATCTCCATTTGTTTTTAGGGGTAGTCGCCACGCACCCTTGATGAGAGAACATAATGTTCTGGAACCATTTTAGAGACTTTTAATGACACACTATGAGTGCTGAAGAGAAACAGATAAATTCCTTCGCCGGTCTACACAGACCTCTAACTGATATACATAGTGGGATAAAAACGCCTCAGATAAAATTGTCCCACATAAGCCCCCTTTTCTAGTCAGTTAAATGAATCTTATCTGGAAATGGGTGTGTTAACTTCTCATGCAAATCTGATTGTTCTGTTCAAAATGAAACGGCATATTGTATTACGAAAAACTTTAAAATCCTATACATGGCATCCAGTGTCGCACTGCGCTATGAAGACTTATCTGATCAACGTGGCAGGGGAATAGTTCTCGTGTTCATTTTAGGGTACGCAAAAATAAGTTTTGTGCACATCAGTTTGAGAGATTCTTGAGACATTCTTTCAGCCTTTCAAAAGTACGTCTTAACACGGCACACTTTACTATTTACTTAATTTTCGTGCATTGATATCACCAAAAAAAGGTACGAATGACTCCAAAATGTAGGAGTAGTAGAGTTTGCTAAATTATATGGTTTCAGATTCATTGCTGCTAAAAATAAAAACGGCTTCTCGTGTTATAAAATGACTTCCCAGAACTTATGGCTTCACTATTGACGATAGTTCGAAATTCAAGACTTTTCCGTGGAAGATCGGGTTTCAATGGTAGAATCAGGGAGTGACTGAAAATATGCAATCTGCTATTCGTTTCGGAAGTCCCTGTTTTATCTCATAGCCCCTGTCAAGGGTAGTTCATTTTCATTGTTCACACAGTAAGTCATGTCTGAATAGCATGTGCAGTTGGGGATTGAGTATAATTTCACAACGTTGTACTTGTTCGCCGTCAAAGTTAGCTTGTGCAATCCACATCAACATAAACCTTAAGAACTTCAGTAGTGTACGTCCGAAATGAAAATGAGAAATTCGAGTTGGATGTATCTTATACTAGACGGTGGGAACCGCACTGAATAAATTCTTGGAGTATTTAATCAAAGCGTCCACACTAGTATCACGCGCACATCAGTCTCAACAAAAAAGTGCACATTTCAACTTTCGCTCGGATAGACGGGTCGTGTAAACTAAACTCACAGTGACTTACCCAACGACGGATTATTTATAAAGAGAGGTTAGACGCAAAGAAGGCATAGTTCACACACCGTAACATCCCACCCACTAGAAGGTCGTCTCACATGCCCAGCCTCTCTCCTCGTCTGGTACATTAAAGAGCGAATTCAAGCGTCTCTAAATTCGATGCTTCAGATAAACTGCCGTGTGCCGAAGATCACTTTTACGTAGTTTTTCGCCTGGCTTATTCAAGTCGGTTCCGTTCTTCCTTCTGCAACCACTGCTACTTTTTGATCCGAAAGAATACACGGATGATGCCTTATCATTCAGATTTTCTTATCCGATTTAAGAATTTGATCACCTGTTGAAACGTTTGGACGGCTTTTCAGTATTCGTAGAATGTTCTAGCAGGCCAAGTGCGCACCAGGCTTACGTGCACAGGTTTTGTAGGTTCGAATTAAAACTCATTACAAGATAAGTAACTATACAGTCGTTTGTAATTTATGTCCACAGCCCTCATCTCACTTAGTTTGAAAACCTAGGCTTCCAGCTCTTTTTGGTGATTTCATGTCTTGGCCGAATTTTACCTTCAAACAGTAACAGTTTTTACCTTGTTTCTGTGCATTAATTCTGACAACATTATAACTGTTGTGATTTATAAATTGTGAAACTTTCCGCACTTCAAGCCATAAATCAACCATGATTCCACGATAATATAACATATTGCCGAAAAGGTGTCGCTGAGCAAAAGGAAGTATGATGGTTAGTTGATCAATGCAGAGAGATAAACAGGAAGGAATGCGTGACTGATTGATTGTACAGAACCATTCTGGTAAAGTGAAGTCACACTCCACAAGGATATTGCCGGGTGTTTAGGTTCTGTATTAAACTGCCAGCCTAAATTCAACTTTGGTAAAATGCTTTAACTTTAAAAGTGGTCTGTGTTAAATTCAGTATAACAGATCATTTGCATAAGGCTGACCAAATACCCAAAAATTACTGAAGGGTGTACGAGAAACCATCGTCTTCAACTTAATATACGCACGCGTTTTGAGTCGAGGTACACGCTCGGAATTCCATGCACTGCAGTAGATCCCTAGGTAGGAAAAAACTACATGAGTTGCTCCGTGTTATTAGTTGCTTACTAATGGTCCCAATCCAAATAACGCTAATCAGTTACGCCTATTTTGCAAGACTTTATTTTGAGTTTCTAGCTTAACCAATAATAGCACCATAGAAATTTTCTACAGACTGTTCATTCTTTTACCTTGAGATGTTTTTGGGAGTAAACAGGTTACAATAATAAAGTCGCCAAAGCGGTTGCAATCTGGCTGACCGCATACAAATGCATGAAGAGTTTATCAAGGTTATGAACTTGAGAAACAGTCTGCCAAAAATAATCAAGAAACAATTAGACATCTGACTAATGTAATCTTAGGTTTGTTGTCGGGAGACCACATCCTATCGGAATGAACGTACAAATCTTTACACACACACGAACTAGCTGCACGGTAGTTAACTTAGACGTGAACATATCGAATTACTGTATGTTCTATGACCTTGTGATGGAATTCTCTTCATGGAAGAGAGGAACAAGTGATTTAGGTCACATTTACGTGTCTTTTTTCAGCATTAGGTTTGGTTGCAGGGGAGCGTTGATTACAAACTTGACTTTCAAGTAGGAGAGAAGAATGACTGAAATTTTGTGACCCACAAAAATGTTCTGGACTCGTAGTACTATTATTTATTTTTGAAGAGCATGGTCACAAACATAAACAGTAAATGCACTTTAACTGGTCATTCAAGCTCATCATCTTACCACGTGCCTTACTTGTCTTGCACTGATCCATGTTCTTGATGCCTGAATTCAATACTCTTGCACTGGGACCTATTTTGCCAATCCACCAAGAGTTTATTCCGCACCGGTGGAAACGGAGAGGATAGCCACAATAACGTTGCTTGAAAATTCCTACTGAGAACCAACTATCACCACACTAATAGTTACAACATTCAACAATGCCATCAAGACACGTTCGCTGGGACCACCTTTGAAAACCATCGACTTACCGTTGCAAATTCATTATTGTGTGATGCGTCCATAGGATCACGATGTCCCTTCTATCGGCAAGCAAAATACCATAACACTTTCAGAATTTTGCTTTTCCTCCGTCAATAGAATGCGACGAGACCAGTTACTTTTTACGTGGCCCACCCATACGTACAATCTATCAGCCGCCCAACAGAGGTTTGACATTTAAAAAATCCGGTAAATACATAGTGTCCAGTATCGCAGCATAAATTTTGCAACAAGTTAAGAGCAGGTCTTGCGTCATAACCCCATTACCCGGATGTCTGTCTTGACAGGAGAATTACTTCAGGGTGCCACCTTCTGGACAAACTAAGAAGTGGACTCCATCCTCATAGCACACCAAGAAAACGTTTACAGTGGAATGTGGAAGTTTCTCCTTTATCGCGTCGGCCGCCTATTAACTAGTGACTACATTGGACGTTGGTTCCTCTGAAGAAAATTTCCTGAAAAAGACTCAATATGAAATGTGGCTTTGGAACTTACCGTAATGTCGATGAGATTGGAAAGCTGCAAGCAATGACGGCGGAATCGCCACGAGTTCGATGAGTGACGTGTAGCTTAGTACAAAGTTCAATCGATCCGTTGCGGCGCAATACTAAAAAACGATATTGAGCAGCATGTTTTTGTTTGTTCGTTATAACAGTCAATAGTAATGTCTTAGGTGTTTCACTTTTTTAATGTTCAAATTCTAATAAGTCGAGTAAGTAGGGATGTATCTTTAGTGCCTTGCCAGGAAAAGGAAAATCAACCGACAGTCACAGCCGAATGCAGATTGAAAAAACTTCGCAACAACCTAACACTATTCATTTCTATAAACAAAAACTGCAGTCTAACGTAGCGGTTAGTTAACCATCCACAAACCGGCCGTACTTCGAAAGAAGGCCACTCTAATTTAACTAGCTGGTGAGTGGTGAATGAATGTTGGTCAGGGAGTCCCGGGTGGGGATATTTCCAAAGTGTAGATCCTCGAAAATTTATCTGTTCTATTACATAGCCACATTTATGAACCAAAGCCTGGAAGCTATTATTACTGCGTCCACGTTAAGCGGTTAATACCTCGGGGAGCTTTTGCTGACAGTGAGGATATTTGTCAGGTATAGTGAAGTCCATTGGCTACTACATCCGAATTTTTAATAGTCAGTCTGAATGGTCACAGTCACTCTGAATGGTCAAACTATAAATCCAAATATGGCAAAGGTTACTTCCATCATTTTTTCATGCTCAACGACTGTTATTTTCAACAAACTTAACTTTAAAGCTTTTCATGGGTAAACATTCGTCCATAAATCTTTTTCCGAATGAAGATCGTTTACTTTCACGCATCAGCTTTGAACTCTGGTCCCACAACAGATCATGTGAAAGACGGCCGCCTAAACCATCCGAATGTTAATTTATAATTCATATATTACATACAAAAAAATTAACAGCTAATTTTGAATCAGAGGCTGCAGCTGAAGTGGTTACTAATCACCCGAGATGTCCTAGTTCGCTTGAACGCGGCTATCTAAGGTGGTTAGTAGTCGTTTCGGTTCAGCTGATTCAAACGGCACTTCGGGGACGCGTGAGTAATGGTACGGATCTTACACTCGGCTGGGTGGTGCTCTACATCATGTCGTTGGAAAAGTGAAGTCATGCGGTAAGATGACAAGGCCAATAATAACGCAGTTTAGAGTGATCGGTTGAAGTAAACGATGGGTTTGCTTCAGTTCGCTTCAACGACCGTAATTCAAAATTATGCGCTTCACGGCAGGTCGAGGGCATAGACGGCTTTTAGAGAAATGGTTGAATAAGATAGCCAAAAAACACGTTGAAATCCCAGTAAGGGTAGATAACCTAACTCGATATGTTCTCAAGTAGATAAACGGATTTGGCTCATGACACAGATATTATTGTCAACGATATTCCAGCAAACAGTCGGGAATAACGTGAGGGTAGTGCAGCTTGCGGATAACCTTGAACAAGCACTTCTTCCAGGCATACGAGGTGGGATGATTTCGGCCCCATATGTAACTGGTTTGCAGATTCATTGTAAAAAATGACGATAGGATATTTGGCTTGGTAAGCTAGCACTTTTCGGCAACCAACGGATTTCAAACCAAATTAAGCATTCGGTCGGCTATCGTGATCAACAGCCCAAAATCGCAGACACCGTGAATATGTCGGGTGCGGGTCAACGTTTTCACTGGGAAGTTCTGAAGAGATAAATTGAGTGAATGTTGAAGCCGTGGTGTCTACTTGTGTCATGATCGCTATCACCTGGGATAACTTGACTTCGGCCGGCTTGGTTTGGGCTTGTGAGGTCAAAACATACCGGATGGATAAGAGATTGGCTCCTTCACTGAAGGCATAGACGGAGTGGAGATCGATTTCAAGTGGCCATTAGCACAGGTATGCTGTGTTTGACCTAAAACCACGTTATCGTATTTACCCTCCTCTAGCTTCGGTTTGATGATCGAGCTCTAATGAGCGTGACGAATTCAGGGTATATTTACAAGCTAAGTTTTTGATGAGAATCAAACATGTCATTAATACTCAGCTAATTCACTTATGGAGTTAGCATGCTGTCTGACTTGTTTATTCAGTTTAACACTTCGCAGCGAAAATGATGAAGAGGTTTACTTCAGTCTTTCACTTTAAGCTGTTATCAACCTAAAAGCTGGTGTCATGGCAATTTATGATTTTTCGCATGACATCGAAATTCCCGCTTCTGATGTAAAACGAGTCGCTTAGGGCACCTTTTTTACATCTACGTGGCGCTTGTTCTGACCAATCCATCTTGCCTCATGATAACGTCGCACAACATTACAAAAACGTGACGTACATGAAGTTTACCAAGTCCTGCAGCTAATTATTAGGAGTATAAAACATGGGCTATAAATATTCCAATTTCTGTTCTGTGTTAGTTAATCTGAAATGCGGAATGTACAGATGAAACTAAAAACAAATACTTCAAAGCTGGATTAATGAAGCAACGGAGTTCACTAAAAACAAAGAGACCACAGCTGAAGGATCAGTTAAACCACATTTTTAGATCTGTGATGCGTTCGCCTGAAATGATGAATTCGTGTCCTACAAATGCGACCTTAAGTCAGTGGAATATTCGTTCCTCTTACTCGTACACGTGATTCGTGCATCACCCAGAGTAAAAGCAGTATGCTTGTGCTCGATAACTAAGGTTCCCCGTTTTTGTTAACATCAATTTAGGCATAGAAGAAAAAATCTGATTGAGAGAAAAACTTGGACCCGAAAATGTATAACGATTCAAAACCAATTTTAAGCTTTCTAATAGTCATCAAATTGTTCCTTGTTATCGGCTGTGACGAACTACATTCTTGAGTATTGCTTCAAACGCTTAGCATCGTAGATCAATTAACGTACCTATGGATGTTGCGTATGGATAGAATATTATAATGACCAGATTACGTGCAAGTATAGCAATGTATGTCGTCAGAAGTTTGTAGTGAAGATTATAGTTAATGTCTTACTCGAAGTATATAATATCCCAAACAATATAAATTGATGATGAAATTGAGCCACGCCAGTATTTTGCTCTTCAAACTGAAGCATACACCTTGAGCACTGAACGGAGGTTGGCTGAAAAGGAAAGTAGAAAGGACAACCCTTGAAACAAATGTGTGGCATAAGGGTCACCGGCGGTGAACTACTGAGGAGTTCTCAGCAAACCTGTGAGTATTTTTCATGTTATGAAGTTAGATGGTGCATTGAAAGAATGCATTTTTGATTACTCAACTAACTTTGCATTCCGATTTTTCTAAACAGAGTCTATACGGGGATCATTTGATGAAGACTGAGCAGTGACTTTTGATAAGGATTCACAAAAGTTCAAGGTAAGTCAGTTCAGTTTACTGAGCTTTAGGACAAGTACAAAAGGCAAGACGAATTATTCTATTTTTGTTCAATAAAATTTGAGGAATAGTTTCGACAAATAGACTCTTTTGCAAATAAGTTTGGTTTACAAGGAAAACTTAACTACAACTTTTGTTTATAATATTTATCAACCAAATGTGCTGCACAAAGGCCACCTAAGGGTTTCATTTGGCACAATATAGAAGATATAGGAGAATATTTCCATAGAGAAAACTACTCACAAGGTTGCTGAAAACTCTTCGACAGACCACAACCGGTCGGACCTATTTGGAGTTCAGCATGTGGGCGCAGTCCTTAAGCTTTCATTTACCTTATTTTCTACTTGAACCCAAATTGGACTAATTTCGACAACTTCACTCATTTACAAGTCAATTCCGTTTTTACGGGAGACTCAAATAAAACATGAAGTGGTCTTTTTGTAGCACATTCGGTTGAAGAATGTCATGCAAATTAGTGTTTTATCGAAATCGGTTCAATTCGGGTTCAAATAAAACATAGGCTGGACGGAAACTTGGAGCTTGTGCCTACCTGATGAGCCTCAAAAAAAGCAAAACCGGTTGAGAAATGGGATTTGATAGCTGTGCACTAAAACCGCGAGAACAATGAGCACATTTTCTTCGAATATTATAGATTTTCCCTAAAAAAAGAGCTAAATTTTACTGGGTCGGATAGCTTTAAAACAGAACTTTCACGATGCTAGATTGTCTTCGGTGTCATACGAGTTAATAAGTTTACGGATTAGAACACCAGGGACCTCTCCGATTAATTTTAGGTTCTTCCTACTGCCAGTATACACTAACAAAAAGACCTAAACGATGGGCAAACTTGTTGACATGTTCAGCGTTCTTTAATAAGTGTGACTACTGTGTCCACAGTAAGGCAGTGTCTTGCTACACCAATGCGTTTTGCCTTCTCAAATTTCGTACTAAACAAATATTATAGCGAAAATTAGCTGGCGAGTCTCAGGCAAACAGATTGAAAAGCTAGATCACCAAGTATGCAGAGTTCACAGATATGGTAGCCAAATGACTTCGCGCCAGTTATATGAGCTGCATTGACGTGAAATTTACCCACATGAAAATCCATACCCAGTATTCTAACCTTTTTTGTCTACGACGTAATGGATCCTTTGACTAAACGACAGAAAAATAAGAAGTCAGAATGGTCAGTGGCAATTTGTGGTTGAACTGATACTAGCAAACAGTGGCCTACTTCTGGATCTTGGTTTATGAGGTAGGAAATTGGAGGACTGGACTCAATCAAAAACATAACTACCCTCCTACCAAATAACATGCAGCTGAACTACAGCAAAGCAAGTTCTCCTATCATATCAAAGTAGTTTGTATCATCGCTCCAATCAGACCAATTTTGAATGAGAGCACATCTAGGGCTGCATCGAACAGCTCGAAAATATGCATTCATTCCCACTTTTTGTATGAGGTAACAAAATACTTACAGAAGCGTCCAAGTCATACGAAGGAATATGAAGAATTTTCCTACCCATGCAAAGTGTTTGAAAGCAGCTAGGCAGCATTGGTTTTTTTCAAGAATGACGTCATAAAGATCTGTGTATCTCTGACCTCAAATAACCCTAGGCTTCTTCTGAATGAGAATTGACACAGTTGAACCTTAGCCAAAGTCAGCTGGGAGTTCGATCAAGAAGAAGGATATGTTTCCTAACTCTGGCTTGATTGTTCTGCTTGTTAGTGGTTGTGTGCACCATCGATGTTTATGTGAATACTCGGAATGAAATCAATGAGGAGATTGTTTAGCGTGCATGCTTTGCCTGCAGTTCTCGAAAGAAGCTTACCCTGTGTTGCTATAGTGGGTTGTAGGCTTTGTGAAACCAAGGCAGAATTTAAGGCAAACTGAAAACCTTATGGATGGCCTAAAATCAGTTAAGCTTTCCAGGGAGTTATTATCAGGCTTCCGAAAGAATGTCCCATCTGATGATCAAGCTTTTTGACTGATTTATAAATTAGTAGTCGGACATAATTCTAGTATTTAAAAAGATTGTCTAATAAGACTTGATCTCTGAAATATTATCTATTCATTTGAGTTTCGACTTGCTGCATCCCTCATACAAGAGGCAAACTACTTGTTTATTATGGGAGTGTTTACCATCTGGCTGAAAAATATTGTTTGTTTTTGTAACCATAAATTAATTTTTTAATATATCACGGAGCTGGTGGATTAGCAGTAGCAAGTTTGTGTTTCATGTCAGATTTCCAGAGTGCAAACCGCGACACGCAGTGCTTTGAGCCTTTGGGTTAGACTGACGGGAATTATTGTACCAGGATAGAAGGACGGCGTTCAAACGAAAGCGATGCGGACATGAATTCTACCCCCAGCCACCGACAACTTATGTTGTGCTAGTCTTTTAAGGCCTGACGACACCTACCAAACTGCTGTCACAGATGTTAATAAAAGTAGCAAAATATTTATTTGAGCTGGATTGAAGAACTAGTTTTGGGCACAGCATAATAATAAACGAAAAGTTCAGAACAAATAAGGCAAACACCACCCACTTTCTTGGCTCTTTTGTCCAAAAATAATCTCACTTGTCTGCATTATAATCACCTTGAAGATTGATAAATAGAGAGAAATTTCACTCGGTACACGTTACAACGCTTTTCGTTGCTTCAGTTGAATGGAAACAATGAAAGACCCTGGAAAAGCACGTCATGGCACACTGAGTGAAATAGGTTTCTAAAATCTTTGAACTCCGTGATTACAGTCAGGCACCTGTGTAATAGCCAGAGTAAAGTATTTAATGTCCGACGCAAAAAAAGCATAGTTCCTCTTTAACCCAGTGCTGACATTTTGACGCAATTAGACCTGATGGTGGTGTGTTTCCAGTTCTTTTCGAATGCGACATTTGCTACCATGTCCACAAGATGATGCTGCAACCTACCTTGTAGGGCTTTCCCAAAAAAGTGTACAATTGAGGTAGCAACCTTATAACAAATAACAAATATGGCATGAATCTAGAGATTAGAACCCGGGTGTACGAACGTCAGACGAGTAAAAGCACCAAGCAGATGTTCGGCGTAGCCGATGAAATTGAGAAGCGCATCAAAATTATATGGGGAATGTGCTCAACAAAAATCAAATAGAACGTATTTCCTTTTGATAATAGAGAAGAAAACGCAAAACTGTTTGATGGACGTGCGAAACAAAAGTTGAGCTAAGGTGCATTGTATCTGTTGTTTGGAGATTCTAGTGTTTGACCAAACCCCGTTGCATTCTTTGTAGTTCGCCGTGAAGAATAGTCGTGGTACGACCCACAGTAATTGGGTCTGACACAATCTTGGACGGTCAGAAAAGTCGTACTTCTCACAAGCTTGTCAGATTCGAAGAACGAACACATTGCTGAATCGCAATGTAGGGTGATTAACTCATTTTTAATATCAGGTGCACGAATTCACCCCATCATAATAGGTGTGACGACTCATATTGCTAGATTAGGCTAGAAAATCGATGGGAATGTCAGCGGTTCATGTTGTATAGATGGCCGTGGTTCTGTTCGCTGTGCTGGCTATTTGGATTACACCATTTTGCCACCAAGCGAGATGACATCATTAGTGCGTAGTACGTCGGCGGTGCGTTGCCATGTTTCGTATTTCGTGTGACTGTCTGGGTGTCACTATGGTGCCAACGATCATTTTTCAAGTGGGGTCCCGATCAGTCCGGCGATACGTGCACTGACGCACTACGATGCACCATCAACTTACTACGCACTGAAGATGTAACCTCAATTAGCGTCAAAATTTGACAACCCAATTTCTAAGCCCAGTGAACAGAACGAAAAGACCAGCAAATCTGAGAATAGCCGGGACATATTTCTGTAGAACGATTTTTCCGTTTCTTGGAAGGCTAATTTAGTAAAAGTTCCAGGATACTCACCATTGTAACCAAGTTCAAAATTTGTGTGGCATAATTTGCCGTCTTTTGTCAGCCTTCTTGCAAGGCAATCAAGGTTTGTCGTCCACGGCACCTAGAATTTTCTGAGCTTTCCGCCTCAAAACCATATTTTCATGCAAATAAGCACCCCTAATTTTTGGGACAAACGCGTTTTATTAAGTTAGATCCAGTTTACTGTATAGGTATCCGCTTAACCTGCTCCATCTTTGGAAGCTTAAAGTTTTTACGACTGAATCCTTTCGTAGCTACCTCTTCTGGAACCAAACGCGGGTGGTGGAATGTCGGAATCTGAATTGAAATTTACTTCGATACAGGTGTTTATCCACTCAGTTATTCACCTACTCATTTGCCCAGCTATTGACAAACCTTACTAATTTACTTGGTGGGTTATTCAGTTACTTGGTCAATCGTTCATTCAATCGCCCACTGGCTAATTAACTTTCACCCAAGAACTGCTTTCTAGAGGAGGTGCATATTTACCTCCGTTTTTAGTGAAAGGAATTTGGGAACATAATGTACATGGCTGATTTTATGAGCTTGACGGTAACAACAAAATCGGCCAATAATTTAGATTATCACTTTAGACTGTTCCTGTTTCAAGTAAGGGACATTTCTTTGAGCATGTTAATGCTCACCTTAGAAAAAAATTCCCTTAGCAGAGCTTCCTCTTTTGCGATACTGAAACCACGAGAGTTATATATATATATATATATATATATATATATATATATATATATAAATCGCTTGTCAAAAGAGGAAGGCAACGTAACAGCGTGTTGTAGAAAATAACTGTCACCATCGATTGTTTCTGATGAGTGAACTAGAATCATTTTCACGTATCACTTACTCCACTGTCTCGATTATATAAAATATCCACGAGAATGTGCACAAGACATTATGGACGGTAAACTAAAATGAAATAAAAACGATGTGTAAGCATAAAACAAATTAGTGATGTGTAAAAGCGATAGAATCTGTCATCATTGAAGAGCACCCAGTTCAACCGAACACCCTAGCAGCACTTTTTGCGAAAACCAGCTTTGTACAGATGCGTCATTGTTGCTGTTTTTCTTATATAAAACTATTCAACTCTTCATCTAAATAAAAATTTCAGCCATGCCTGTATTCATACATTAGTTTTTGCCGTTTTTTGCCGAAATGGTTTGATTCTTCTGGCACGATGTGTCGACGTATTTCCTTCTGTGGGAAAGGAAAGATGCAGCCATTTCACCCTCGTGTTTAACCTGCACGAAATTGTACGTTAACAAGTAAAACGACCATTCGGGCCTGGGAAAGTTTATATAAAACAGACAGTTTTTGTTTAACGTCAGTTGCACGCGGTGACAATTTTAGAAGTTTGGTACCAACGCTAAAAATAAAAGCAAGGGTACCACGTGCCTACATAACTGTCTCTGTCCTCAAAAAAATACGTGTCTAATGTCTCTTTAGTGTCTGTAGACATGTGACAATTTAACACTTCAAGTTAGAATTTAAATTACTAACTCTCCGATACATCTTTCTGTTCTAACTGCTTTTCTAAGCAAAATGAACCGGCTAGCTAAACGACAAACGTTGATACTCGTAGAAAAAATCACCGTTTTGTCGACAATGTGGCTAATACTTGGCTTCTGATAAGCAATGCAGCAACATTACTTCTAAATCTTTCAGCGCGGCAAAATATATACTGCCTGCGATATTATTACACGCGTGGCAATTAGTTGTAGCTAAAAAGTGCCATTAAAAAGGAGAGGAGAGTGAAGTAAAACACACATGAACTTGTGTATGTATGTGTGTATCTCAAGAGGCCTGAAAATTGATAACGCGTTCTGAGTAGTAACATAGAGTGGTAGCCTTCTATGCGGATGTTTCCCAGAACGAGCGTTAGACTGGAAAATGTCCGTAGATAATGGAAAGCTGTTTATGCCACTTGGTAAAAGATTTTCCTGCAATTCTCTAACACTTTCGATTTTGTAACAACGATTCATTGTGAAACTGCGGTCATCCGAGCGACAATCGTTTCTATCAGACTTCTGGATCACGCCAAATGCGCTGGATCAACAAGAAAGCGTATGAACGTTAAAAGTTGCTCAATTTTCTATCTTTTCCAACGGTCGTTGACAGAGGCCTACGGATTTATGAACATGGTGACACTTCTGTTTGCTAAACTCTCTCGTTGAATTTAGTCGAAGCGTCTCGTGGTAAGCCTGTCGCACGTAGTTGGTGAATTCATTTTTTCCACATAGGTAGAACAGATATCATTTTATGATATCTGAGAGCTGGCAAAAAGAACCCTAGGCGTACCAGTACAAAAGGATTCACTCTGCTATCTCTCTGAAAACTGCTTCTAAGCGCGAGTGACACGAGGAATTACCGTAGAGAAAGATCGGTGTTCTGAGACCCTGTGAACGCAACCCACTCAGCAGCCTCCAAATTCACTGGTCGCAGCAATAACTCGTAGGCGTTAATCTTTTGAAAGCAAAACCGAGTACACTATCAACTCACACTGTACCAATAATGAGTGAGCTATTTCTTCTTCATGCTGTATAATTCTAATTGACCGACTTATGATTCGGTAGCAAAATATTTTAAACTAAGAACCCAGCTGAATCTGTCGGTTTTGACGTTTCCAGACGACTGAATGTGCTGCACCAGGCTGCCTCTTGTTTCAGTCGCTACGATATTCGGAAACATCAAAATCAAGAGATTCAGCAGGTTTCAGGTGAGTCTCTCGAAAAAAACAAGTGTTTGCAAATGGGTGTATATTCGCTAAGTTCGGGGAATTGGGTTTCAAGTAGAACACAATGTTGACGGAAACTCAGGGACTGCGCCTACCTGATGAGCCCCAAACAGGGCAAAACTGGTCGTGGGCTGTCGAGGAGTTTTCAGCAACCTTAGGAGTAGTGCATTACAAAATACAGTTTAAACTAAGGTTCATTGATCCAAGTAACCGACTTGTCGTTGCATCCTTAACTGTGCAAACTTCGAGACAAAACTTTTCCTCAGTTGTCAATTATCTGTTGAGTCCAGCACCTCAGAATTAGAATGAAAATTTTTCAGTGTACGGATATCCACAAAAGTACCTGACTAGTGTCATTAAACTCAAGTCCCTGTCATATTCTGCAGCTAGTATCAGGTGTTAAACCCATCTCGATCTAACTAACCATCTCTTTTTCTGCGTCATTCAGTGGATTATTGTGAACGATTTTTCTCCTAGGAGCTCAGTTCAGTCTTCCAGACATCAACTTAGTAATCTCCCATCTGCCGTCCATCTGTAAAACAGTAGGGCGAACCAACCAAAGTATCATCTTCAGGCCCCACGCTGAGCCATCTCACGGGTCTGCTGCTGCAACTGATTGGTTTTTTTTGCTCTCTAGCTTTCCCAACGCTCTGTTTTGTAATATCAAGTGTGCGAAATCGATAAAATGAGCGAAAGTTTCGTCCATCAATTTGTGAGTTGATTGACATCCTAGCCGCCACTGGAAATGAATATGGCCCAAAGTCTTGCCTCCTTCTAATTAGGTACCCTTAAAGCCAGGGCCTTTTACTAGTCCAGTGCCGTATCAGTTTTATTGGCTAACCTGATTTCCTCACAAGTGACTCGAAGCCCGTGAAACATCAGGGATAGTGGACAGGCTCATAAGGGTAATTCCTACTTTTTTCGATTCGTCTTTCCACAACACTTCATCGTATGTAAAGCAGCACCAAAGCGCTAATGCGATCTCAGACTCAAGCCATCTGAATCGGTGTCCTACCTTTGAAGCATTGATCAGTTGTTACCTCACAGAGGCGTAGCGTCTACTGCCCAAAGCCACAGTTTCTACTGGACGGGTCGGATCATGAACTGTTGACTCATGACTCTGCTCACTGCTGCTTAGATTGTGGCGACTCTTAAGTGACAGCTCAGTCCATCGACGAAACTCGCACGAAAGAAGAGTTTGCGAAGAAGATCAGTGGATTTTTTCGAATATCTTTTGGATTCCAATCGCTTCTAGTAATCTTTCTGTCCTTGACAACCGATCTGCTGCAGAAATAATTCGATTCCTTCGAGAATCAATTCTTAGTTGTTTTTTTTCGTTTGTGTTGAATTGCCGAAGTAAGAGCACCAAACAGCTTAAAAAAATCACATCTGGATGTTGGGTACTCGTTAACTATGGAGCACCCGAGTTTCCGTGACAGCGTTGTTAACCGTTGACAAATTCTATTAAGTACTATCCGAAATGACCAATAGAAACTGACTAATGAATAGAACTGAAAGCCGAAATATGATGGTGTGTTCATTTATCCCATCCAAGTCCCGCTAAGTTGGTGTTGTGGCCGAGTTTGAGTGTGCCGTGCCACAGGAGTTTACACTAGCTTGGACCGTGTTCCCTATTATTCAGCCATCATAAGATGGTCAAAGGAGAATGTCTCGGCAAAAACTGTTGTTTTCCGTACCATGAGATGGTCTGGGGTTTGAGTAGTGCCCTTCAGGACAGGACAGTTATCAAGGTCACATACCTCCTTCAGTTGGCCAACCTTTTCATATTATGAGAAGCAGAATGGACGGTTGAAATCATCGCCACCAGCAACATCACTTGGACCCAGAAATTGAACGTGACCACCAAAGTATAACTCAGGTCCAAAAACATTTTAGTTTAAAAAAAGCCCGATATGGATCCCAACACATTTTCTGTGTAAAGGAAAATCCAAAGCAGTCTACAATAACCCATATCCAGATCCAAAGGGTCTGGGTCAGCTTTACAACCAAATTGGTTGGACCATTAAGTCCTTTGTCCCTAGGGATTTTGCCGAGAACAAGGTAATACCAGCTGCATGTGAGTGTCAGACTTTTGAGTCAGGGATATCTTAAAAACTGTCACCTAGGCTGGGAGAACTGTTCACCCTTAATGCTATTTCTTCCCAAACCCTTATCAGCCTGTCAGTAAAGGATACAAGATCATTCCGCTGTCAGCCCTCTAACTGAGCTCCTTCATTCGACCCAGGAAGTGAAACCAAAAGGAGGCTCCTGGAGAATCTAGTTCTAGTAAGCCAGCTCATTGAATTTTTATTATTCCTGGACATCGTCTCGAACTCTGCATTGGTTGTTCTTACTCATTTTCTGTGGCCTCCTGGTTGGTTCCTGAGTTGTTCGTATCAACCAGCTGTCGTTATTTTGCATTGTGCCAAAAGTTTACCTGTACTGCTGACTGACACGAATGGCCCTTGTTGACTGAGTGACCGTGCATTGCGTCTATTGTCACTTTTACACTGAAAATTCTGGCGATTGTTAAGCAGGCATTGAACTCGATTGATCGGTTGATCGCGTTTCTTTTTTAGTTTGTCTCCACAGGCTCTGCGGTGCCCCTCAACCCTACAATCTGCAGTCGATAAATTCAAAAGGACTATTCTGAAGAGAAGCTCCCAACGCCCAACAGCTCCTTTGGTCCTCCTCCCTAACGGTTAGCCTTTGCTGTGTACCTAAAACAATCATGAAATATCCAAGCTTGAGATAGCATAACCAGTGAATCAGAACGAACTCTGCCTTTGGACATTGTACTCTCTCCCGTGTTGTACTCAATTAAATGGGTATGCTCAGGGTTCTAGCTGGACAGCTTGGTGAATGTCAGTGTTAACAGAGATACTAACTAGTGGTTACATGTTTTGACGGCATAGGCTCCGACTTTTGTCAAAGGCAACACAGACCATAACTAATTGGATAATTCACGACACCAAGTAAAACAAATTAAGCTTATACAGTCTGACTAAGCCAATAATGGATGCCGTCACAAATTCAGCTACTCTGACTAATGCCCGAAAATTCATAAGGGTACGCAAAGCCTCTGACAATGCAACAGGTTACTAAGACTCCAAATTGTGAAGTCTGGACGAAGATAAAGAGAGCTGGTCAACAGTGAATGTCCAGGAGACGAAGATGGCTTTCGCTACCAGAGACTATCCAATCCTTGCTAACCCTCTATCGACCTGCCAGATGAAAGATAGCGTAAATGAAATAAAAATTCTGCGAAAATTCAACAATTTTCTAGCAAAATTATTGTCTGATTTGTTAGATCAATCACTTTACAGCTAACTTCAACTCATCTAGTGAGTCGCTGTTCCTAAAAACACACTCGAACTACATGTGGACCGCAACTGGCTAAAGTAAAATTAAGTAGATCGCAAAATGTGCTCTTTTGAATGCGAAGAGGCACAAAGTCAAGATACGTCGCGCTGTAACCTGTTTAATGAAAGTGAAGCAACTATTGGTAGTTTGCGTGACCACACTTCTCCCCTGGATCTGGAATGTGGATTAATACACCCTTCAGCTACCTTTCAACCGACATTACTGCTTGATGATTTCAGCGTTGGTTGCATTACTCAAGAGTTATCTTTGACCCAGTTAACGGTCTACCAGGTAGTAAATTTCAAGGGAGCTTCTGTGCTATAAGTGAAATAAGTCTATTCAATCTGTTTATTTCGGCTAATAAGTAAGGTCCAGTTGCGTGCTTCTTGACACTCCAGCAGCTGGGCTGCAGCCATCGAATCATTTACTTGCAATGAGCAATCATCCATGCTTGGACCTTATGGACCATCCCTATTGATAAACAAGTTCTCTCAACTTCGAAACTGGTGCTTTCTTTTTGGAGTAAACTGAACTCAACATGTTGAAGAAAGTTAGAATGGTGTGTCCGTGAAAACTGAGTCCTAAAAGACAGTTGAATGAATACACTCCATTGCACGAAGTTTTATTCTATCAAACTTTCCCAAAAACAACGATTAAGTAACACCATAATCCCCATTTAGTTCGAACATTTTTACGTCAATTGATAGGTTATAGACACTTATCGTTAGAGCCTAGAAGCAATCTAAGTGTTCTAACCGAAAAGTGTTCACGAACATTTACTCATGCAAATGTACTTAACCTATGTTCAGAAACCGAGAAGCACCACAAGCCGGGAGACACCGGATAGAGACCTCCTAGAGTTTCGTATGATGATTACCGCTGATGAAGCGAAATACACACATTTTGCATACAAATTTGGTTCTGATGTGAAACCCACCTGAAAGCCAACTGAAACTTTCGTTTATAATTTTAAGCAACTGAATGTGCTACACGAGACCGCCTCGTGTTTTAGTTGGTTCGATACTCAGGATTGAATTTGAACTCTTTAGTCGTATGGATATGCGAGCGTAAGCACAAGCTGCGCCAGTCACTTAGATGCAGTTACGCGTGATGCTATACAAGATTACCCAAGCAGTGGTGTTGCTCAAAGGAGACTTGCTTAGCTGAATAGTTGTTGAAGAGCTGGTTGAAGTGGACTGGTAACCTTGGTACTTTTCAGCCGCGAAATCAAAAAGTGTCCAGTCTCATGAAACCCCGTTTAACAACCCACACGTCTGTGTATCCGTGCATGGTATACAGGATTTTCAGGATATTCCTCTAGTGCACCACCACCTTTCTGACATGACGAAATTTTCTTGGGATTTTTGAGCTTGCATTCAGAGATGGTATCGCAAACATAACTCGAATGATGAAGGGGGTATAGCCCCATCCAATATGCTAACTTTGGCATGTCGAGGAATTATTGGATGCAATTTTAGCATCACTGATGCCATTGTAGTATAGAGAAATCTAACCTTTATTAGTTAGACTTCTGAAGAAAGGCTTGGTAGCAAATGATAGACTGATACGAAGGTCAAGTAAAATCTAACCTGGCACCTAACTCTTGTTTATTTCACATTGCCGGAGAATCGAACAGAAAGCATGCTTTTATATGGAGTGAATAATAACAACCTATTACATTAAAAACTATATTTCTGAATTAGCACTGCGGTTAAGGAACTCCTCTGTTACCAAATCACACAGGACCTTTTTTTACTAAAAAAAAACAAGCTTCAAAAGCATGAAGTTCATGTACAATCTTCACAACTGGAATCTGAGAACAAGTATAACCAGGCTTTACACTACCCACGAGTCAGTAGGATATAATATACTTCCAGATACAACCAGAATAGCCAGTTCCAGGCAGGCATGAAATTTTACACCTGGTTGTTCGATACAACTGAGTATAGATTCAAATTAGTGGGATGGCAATCTGTACTACGGTCTGCTGCGCTCTGGTCCGAACATAATACACCAATTGTTGTTTACACGCTCACAAAAGAGGGCAACTGCATATCCTGTAAACTCATTCTCTCCACGATGTAAGACGATTCAAAACCGCAGTCAATTGTCCAGATGTGCTAACCATATTTAACTGTTGGCTTGAAAAGTGCGACACAAAAAATAAAGTAATAAATAACCGGCTTATGAAAAACCGGCGTCACGAGTAGTACATGACCTAAATGTCTAGCCTTTTTTCATTCGTTGGTTAACAAAACTGTAACACACTGAGGTGACTGACAATTAACCAGCAGACAGGTTAACCGGAAGTCGCCATGATCTGCTACCTATAGGATGTTTATAAAGGACTTGTAGGTTTTTTATACAGATAGGTGGTAACTGACACAGGTTTATCCGTCAGTGACTGCTGGACAACTGTGTGACAATCGGTTTGTACAGAATGCGGGTGATCCACCGATCTGATGTAAACCCGAAGGGATAAGATCGATTGGCGAGAGTACAAGTGCCTGTTAAGCGTTACTAGCAAAGTTGGTACTGGTCTGGAGTTGCCCACCAATTTCTTTACTTTTTTGAAATTTTAGTTTACAGGTTCCATTTATCGACGCATTTTAGAATCATTATTATCCACCCAAAAATAGACGTAGTCCTTATTTACGAGAGGTTAGTTGAACAACCGGGGGGTTTGTTGCTGGGCAAAGTTTCACTTTTGACACATTCGTCAGGCCAATAATTAGCTAGGTTGAACGGGTTTCAGGACAGTCAGTGAACTAATCATTGAGATTTTTTTGACTGGCCGACTTAACCACGCCTAGATTTCAGTCAGAGGCTGTTGTTCGTTGGTTGGTGAGAATGGCTAATGCATAGGATAGATTGGTTATGGTGGATTGTAATCACGTTGAATCGAGACCTTTTCCGGTCTAGGTTACCCTACAAAGATGCCGTTCGTAGATATCATTGGCTCACGTGAAGCAGGCTAGGTCAATTAAAGTGGGGTTGGGGTGAAGATTAAGCGAAGCTTAATCTGCCTGGATTTTATATATTCACTAGTAACTAAACAGCACCTCGTGTCACCAAGTCCCTTATAGTGATTAAATTATGTAACTTGGGGTCATCCACAACGGCAGCTGATGTTTCCCGATAAAACTGCGGTAAAACTTCAACCATTGGAAATTTAAAGTGTTCCAGGTGGGATCAGGCACATTCAAGTACTGGCAGATCAGACATTGACATGCCGCATTACACAAGCCTGCCTAGGTGTCCAGTTTTTTGGAACTTCAGTAAATATTCGACGCCGATGGATTATAATTGAGCTGAGTTGACTTTGTATTGAGGATATGTTAGGTCATGAAAACTCTGAATATCTTCTGTTACGAACCCTTCAACGAAGATATCGTTTCCCATCATTTTCGATTCGTCGGAAAATGAAAACAATTTTACTCGTTGTAAAAAAACGAGCCCCTGTCAGATCATGGGGGACGGGTTGCTCTTGAAAGAAGACCCCTTGAAGAACAGGCAATAGTACTGAGGGTCAGAAACAGAAATGACATTGAATAATAACTTCTCTTATTTATACCACTTCTAAATGTCGATATGGTAAATGTCACATTGCTAATGATCCGAAGAGAGAAACAATGCCGCCGGTCGAGTGTGATCATTTATGCACCATGTTGATAGAGCCACTCATACAGGACGTAATGTGACAGACCAACAGGGTCACCAGTGTCACCCATTAACTCACTGACCTCTTCAGATTTGTCATAGCTGTGACCACACACCAATACAGAATGGATATTGGTAGATAGACAGAAAGGCTTTTGGTAAAGTACATTAAAAGTGATGTTAGAATCAATCACCTGACTCTCCGAAAGACTCATCACTACGCAGGTAGTAGAACTCCTCGATCGGATGGTCGGCCAAAACTGGTTGTGTGGCTTCAATCTCTTGCATAACTGTCTTATCATTGTGCAGTACAACAGCACGTGAAGCATTAGATTATCATGATTCGGGGGCTGACTAGCAGCTTAAGTTTGGGATGTACAGGCGTCAGCCAAGTAATTATCCTATGATGAAAACAATCAGTAGAAGCAAGTTTTTGAATATCCTCGACGTTCATCGGCTAATTCTTGCTCCGAGACCCCTTCTCTTAGACGGCTAAGGTGATATGCGAACATTTTTCTGCCACTGTATTCACCTAATCTTTTCCTGATACAAGCCCCTAGTACAAACGTTTCGAAAGACAAATAATCAGTGGTCACTCGTGAGAAATGTTCGATTTTGGTGTAGCTTTTTCAAGGAGAGGTGAAAAAGTAACGCGTCTACACAGCTCCTAAATTGAAATGTGAGTACTTATGATAGACCATTAGCGACCCGGACAGTCAATTTAATGAACCTATCTCTCAGAATCCTGCTGCATTTATGTTACGACGCAGTTGGAAGATAAACCGGGAATATTGCAAAAAGCATTCACATATGATCCAGTGCTAATAGCAAAAAGTACTAGAAAATAAGTGCCACAGGAAAACTGTGACCTACCATTACTATACCAGCGCGGTAGGAAACCGTCGTGTATCGTTCACAGTACAACTTCAGATTGAGCTTCTGTCGAGCAGATGGTCCTCTAAAGTACAACCGAAGTCGCTGCTTTAGTTGACCCCACCGGTCAAGGTCGTCTGTTGAAGAGTCTTTCTCCTCCGTGCCAAAGTCAAATGGCTTCTTCGTTTTTAATTTTAATGTACTTCCCCAAGGGGGCCAAACTTTACCATATTTGACCGAACTTAGACGATGAAAGCGCGAACTCGGATGAATTTCGGGGGAATCCGGCTCTTGCGGTGCTTCCTGTAATGCATGAACTGTAAATCTATGACTGGTCGTCACGGACTGCTTCTTTCCGTAAATATTCTCACATTCTGAAATGTCATCACTTGACTCCACTTCCGTGCACTGATCTTCGCTATTATCGCCATTGTCTTTACAATACATGCGAAGTATTCTACCTCGCTCGACATCTGGGATCACTTGGGACCTTTGGATACTTTGTTTTGTTTGCTTGGGTTCAAAATGACTCTCGTGCCGACGAAGGAAGAGCCGCACTGCCCGAAAAACCTTCATGCCGATTGCACCACATAGGATAAAACATGTCACCGTGAATGGGGCCCACCACGGGATGATGTCCTTGCTACATGATTCTGGGGGACTGAAATCGGCCATTTCCACTAGTTCATCAAATGACCGACCAAAATATTGGCAAATATCGTGAAGCTTACAGCATCCAAACTACTGCTTTGATGACCCCATTCACGCGCGGACCTATCGCGGATGGTATATAAGGACAACCACGTATGTCCAGCCAACTAATGTCCATCTTAGTGTTGCTGAGGGTCTACCAGCCGCGTGTGATTGAATTAGTTCATAATAATCGTGCAATCATGTCACTCCGACAAGGTAGAACAGGCGATAGCTTGTTCTCAGTGTGCAAACAGCGCGCGTCATGTGCAAGGCCACGGAGCCAATGGAATTGCTGCACAGCAGTCATATGTGAATAGACTCCTGCTGCTGACTGTCCGTGGTGCATTTGTTATAGATGAGGTTGTGGAAAACGACAATGCTGGCTGTCATATCCAGGTACTGACCTAGTGCTATCTTGACTGATGAAAAAAGTCCGTGACATGTCACGACAGTGATTATACAACTTAGTAAATGAATTTCAGCTGACAGGAATATATATATATATATATATATATATATATATACCAACACAAGTATTCAGCGGGTTGTGATGCACCCGGATGGAGAAGGTGCCCGTGCGTACCATTTTCACCAATGGATTTTTCCATTAAGACATCATCTACCTTCTGCTGCTAGCTTTGTGTCAGTAGAAGGAATCTAAGAGTTCTCACTGATCATGAAATCTGGATCATTCTGAAGTGCACGAATACAGTGGTGACATACCATGCCAGACGGACAGTGGCCTCTTCAGCACTTCAAAAAATAGACGTCAGCTAGAGGACTTCCTTTTAGCTTGATCTAGTTGCCCCATGGAAACTCGCTACATCATTCGCAATACCTGCCGGTGCTCATTGTAGGGAGATTCACGCAGACCATATGCCAAAAGCCATTCTAAAACATTATTTCTTGCTTTCCATTACTCCATTGGTCCACTTGATTTCTTCGTGTTAATTTCAAAAGAGAAATGCTTCAAACATTTGAGGTTCACTGATTGTCGGTTGAAGCGTTTAATAAGTGATGCTATCTTTTCCCGAATTACGACCCTTCCAAAATTGTCAGTATTCGAATTTTCGAATAAGATTTTGGTAGAGGGCTGCGTTCTGATGGGCTTGATCTACTCACAAAGGGATGCATACGGGTTAACATCACTATCCTGCATAACACATACAGTTTGTAGCGCTCAGAATTTCTGCCACATCATTATTTGCCTAACCGAAGAGGAAGGTTGCAGGGAGAAAAGAAACAATCCCAAGCTCGAATAAAGGGACACTGTGGACGACATAGATGGATAGAGTTTTCTTTATAACATTTCCGTTGGTTACCCCGAAGAAACGCACTTGTTTGGCATGACGAAAATACGCAAGATAAACAGGATTGGAAGGACTCAAACGGCGAGCCTGCTTCACTTACTCAATGGAGATGAAGCGTGCGGAGGGTCATTGGAACCATCGGCTTTTATTGAGTTCGGTTGCTCCCGTTTCGCCTCAGATATAGATTTTTTAAGCTTTCCCTCTTACCCAGTAGCGGCACGCAACAAATTTGTTACGTAGTTGGAAGCTAGGTGTAATACTGATGAGGTTAGCCTAAACTGAGTATTAAAACCAGTACATTTCGGTGTACGTGACGCCCTCTATGGTTCATCACCAGAAGACTGTCTGATTACGCAAGGTTTCACAGTCTAATTTTAACATCCGTCATATCCTTATCTATAGAACAGTCTGTTACAGCTGTTTCACCGTGCCTTGCAGGTGGCTCCATTTTGTCGTGTATCTGCCTGGTATAACTCAAAGGCGGAACACCGATTATGACTTCGGTTGCTGTGATTTGCCTTTTCCCCACCCCTCCCCCAGCATGTCATTAACAAGTTTAAAAAGCCCTTCTGATTCGTTCAAAATGAGCTGTGTAACGTTGAACATCATGAGGTCGTTAATCTTACTTGGCCACACTTCGATCGTGCTCTGTGATTATCAGTACGGAGTCCGCAGAGACTGTACATTTTGAGGGCAGCTTGAGATATTACACCACCAACGTCCCTCTCTATCTCTTCTTCACAACACACAATATGTCGTTTCAGAAATCGTATAGAGTAACTGTGGTCTGAATAGTGGATGTTGTTATTTGAACAGTCGCAGATAAAACAGTGTCAGACGGAAAATACAGACTGAAGTGACAGAGGCACACCGAGTATTCGGTCAAGAGGGATGGTTAGGTAGGATAGCTATGTGGTTACTCCAATGAACGTACGGAACCAGTTGGCAGGTTATTACAAGATTCACTTGAGTGCATAATCTCTGGGCTTCTGCCCCTGAATTATGACGCAAGGTGCCTTTTAGATGCTCCCTTACTCATCGTCTCGAATCTGTGAATCGGTGATCTTGGATACGTTTAAACAAACCAAGTAGCCTGGCCTCATTCCTTTTTGACGGATCTGTACAACTGTCAAAAACTGGACTAATTTTTTTTCTAATCCACGCAATCATACTGATCCGCATAGTCATCATTGTATGTGGCGTAGGCCTGTGGGTAGACTTGTGAAAATTACCTTTCCAGGATAGACATTAAAAAGCCTCCGTGATTGTGTTGCCCTAAGAGAACAAGTTAGCGGCGGCGGTGGTGAACCAAATCTGTGGTGATGTTAAAAAACACGGCCTTCTCTTCATTAGGACAGAAATCATTCGGATGTTTTGTCTTTGAGGCCCACTTGCATGTCCAACGCATTTGGTGTCCACACCCCCATGTGACATGCCAATCACTTAACCAGCAATACTTTTGAGCAGTTTACCAAATCAATTGTTTGCTTCCTGATTTCAATGGGCGAGATACTCGTACTATGTGGCTGTTAGTGCGTGGAACACTTAGGATAAACATTTAGGGCAAACGTTTATGAAACGCGGAATGATAGTTTTAGAATGGATATTGTGGTCTGTCTCCGGAAGAATAGCTTAACAGGTAACGTCTTCATGTATTACATCACTTCGAGATGATCTAGTTGGAGAGGTTCTAGTCCACAACTTCTTAACTCACTATGAGAAATGTTTTGTTTTGGCGGTTCTGGGTAAAGTATTTACGATATATATATATATATATATATACTATCGGAAAAGGAACAGGAGGGTTATGAGGTAAAGCCCAAAAACCTAGAAGTTTCATTCAGATACCACATGAAATGACCGGGGCCGTTCGTACTGTTGTAACCATTCAGGATGAGTCAGTTGAGTTTACTAGACACTGCGGGCCAAATTACGGATGGTCATTTTATTCGGAAAAAGTTCCGCACAACTCCGATAATACTTGAACTTAATGAGGCTGTGAAATGGGATGGAGTGACACAGAAAATCTCGACTTACGGTGATATTTCTTTTCGTTGACAATTTAGTTAAACAAAACACAATCATGCCGTCGTTAAGTCAAACAGCTGAAAAGCACGGCTGTCGATCATGTGGCTGTTGAACTGTTTGTCAAGTTTAACAATTAACTTGCAAACGCTTTTTCGCCAGACGGGTAGATTTCATCGGTCAACTGCAAAGCATTCTACAATTTCATTATTTTCATATGTGAATTCACCGACAAGATAAAATACTTCCCGTGGGAGATGTAAAGACTTTTCGTCAAACTGTGATAAAAGCTGTCGAAATCATTAACATATTACTAGATATTGTTTACTGAAATTCAGACGGGTTCAAAATATTGCCTTTATCCACTGTCACTCCGGAAGAAAGTGGTCATACTGAAAACATATGTGGGAATATGTAGATGATTCTGTCTGTCAGAGGAGTATCCCCAAAGAACTTATGCCTTCAACGAGAAAGCAAAAGCATTCGGTTCAAAAACTACTCGCAGCAGGGTGAATATGATGCTTCGTAAGGAATATGTTTAGCAAAGTAGCACGACATCATCGCTCACATGGAAATGCAATTCCCTCGCATCTGCTGACACTGAATACAGGAGAGCACAGCTTGACTCTAACGGGAGACTCAAATCGTTTCCTCGTTTGCGAAACTTCTAAACTTACTAGGCCTTACAAAAGTCGCTTTGTGTTCATCCTGTATGATATTTAAAAACCCAAAGTCCTGGTAAAGTTCAAAACCCGTAGTAGGGTTTTCAAAATATTTCAATAGCCATATGAGTAGTGCTTCGTCAGCAAAATACTTTGCGACTTCTAAAACGTCAAACCAAGTGAGAAACGAGGCGAACTTTGTGCGACACATCCTTTTGAAGAATATCATCGAAAGATTCAGCTGAGATTCCGTTGAGTATAAGTAAGTGTACTCAGCAAATCTCGCTCAGTTTAGGTTCAGGTAAAATATAAGTTTTTTGGTTGTTGGCCTGTTCGCCGAGCTTGATAGTTGGATTGCAAACGTTTCATCACCAATCGAGGTGACATCATCAGTGCAGGGTTGAGTGGGTCACCCACTCAGCCCTGCATTGACGATGTCACCCGAGTGCACCCGAGCTACCCACATCCCACAAAATTGCTAAGAATATAAGCTTGACAGAAACACGGGCAATGTGCGTGACAATGTGGTAAGCCCAAAGAAGTGAAAAACCAGTTGTGCACTGTAAAAAAGTTTTCAGTAATCTTATGACCAGTGTGTTCTACCAGGAGGGTAGGGCTAATTGCTCAGTACACTAAATGCTGGGTGTTCGAACGGTTATGTCAAATACCTTTTTGGCTGTCATACGCATGCATCATTTTCCCCTTGTATACACATCAGAGCAATTTAAGTTGACTTCAGTGACTCCAGTTTACAAACTCGTGTCAGTTCGCGTTATCCACATTTTTCCATGCACTTCTTCACTTACCACAACATCACAGTGTCGCCAAACTGTAACGCCGTTCCAATACGGTCCAACAGGAGGACGACAACGTCGCGTCTTCTCAATTTATCAGTAGTCGATATCAAGGAGAAACTCTCATCCCTCGGAATGCCACAAACCATGATCCAGCCTACATTCTGGCCCGATTTTGACGATGCTATTCG